GGAGCTTACTTGATCCCGTAAAGTGATTTCAGCAGTTGACAGACTTGGTTAGGTTCCCCGTTGGTACCGTGTGGGAGCTCGACGAAGATTTCCGCGTCGACAGGTGCGTAGAGGAACGCGTTGGCGACATCGATTTGCCGTAGCTTCCTTTTCTTCATGGCGGCGATCGCGAGGAGGATTCGAAGTGAGGTATGTCGGCTAACCGGGGTGAATGTCTCGGTGAAGTCCCGTCCGTGCTCCTGATCGAATCCACGCACAATCCAGCGTGCTTTGAACTTCTCAATTGTGCCGTCTGCTTTTGTTTTAACGCGAAAGACCCATTTCCCGGTGAGAATGGTCTTGTTTCTTGCCACGCTGATGGGGACAACTTTCCAGGTGTTCCGTTCCCCCAGCGCCTTTAACTCTCTGTCCATGGCTTCACGCCATTTTTCCTTGTGTTCCCCCCCCAGAGCCTGCTGAACCGTCGCAGGCTCCTTAGGAAGAGTGTTGCCGTGGACTGCGGTGACAAGTCCGAGGATCTGCAGTCCAGTCTGTGAGTAGCGGGGAAGCGTTGCATCCTCGGGATAAGCTGCTTCATCTCCCGCTTTTGGATCAGGTATGAAATTCGGTCCTACTCGTTCTGCTTCGTTGGTGTTGACTGTCGCAGGTGTTACGTAACCGTTGTCGGCGAAGTAGTAGAAGGTTTCGGCGTTGACACTTTCGCGAGGGTTATCTTCGTCCATGGGGACGTCGACGGAGCAGAACGGAAGGGGTCCAGCTTCTTCTGAGGCGTTGGCCACATTTTGCTCGTCCCAGTCAGCTTCGTCCGCTGTTGAGGCGAAGGCTCGGTCACCACGAAAACCACCTGTGGGATCTTGGTCCTCTTGCAGGTTGGCAAGGTATGTCTGGAGCGTGAGTCGTTCGTAGAAAATGACGTCGCGTGCTGCTACTGTTTCCTTGGAGTGGACGTCGAAGATTTTCCACGCGTTGTAGTTCGTTTCGATGCCGAGGTGTAGTCCCCACTGTGCGCGTTGAGAAAATCGGCCCGCTCGTGCTGCTGGGGGTCGGTACTGTACCATGCATCCGAAAACTCGTAACATTTTTGTGCTGCCCTGTTTCCCTGTCCATAGCAGATGCGGTGATGCGTTGTTCGGAAGCGATGATGACGACAGCAAGTTGTGCAGCATGACGGCGTGGTCCATTGCTGCAGGCCACTGGTGGTTGGGTAGCCGCATGCCACGTAATAGTTTGCGCATGCTGTTCTGCAGAGTCCTGTTCATTCTTTCTGCTACACCTTGCTGCTGATGGGCGTAGGGAAGAGAGAGGAGCTGCTTGATTCCCCTTTCCACCAAGTACTGCCTGAATCGCTGAGAGGTGTATTCTCCTCCTCCGTCAGACTGGAAGCTTTTCAGCTTTACGCCCGACTCTCTTTCTGCTACTGGTAGCCAAGCAGCGAATGCTTCGAGGACCATGCCGCGGCTGGGTAGGTTTAGATGCCAGACGTAACGGGTGGCGGCGTCAATGAAGGTGATTGTGTAGTTGTATATTACTTGTCCTGGTTCCCGATTGTACAGGATCTCGCTATACACCTTTTCGAGTGGTGCGTACGCGGGTGCGCTCGGGTTGTGATGAGGAGTGAACGGCCGATGTGGTATGTCGGCTTCGGGGCCGGTAAGACATGTTCCTCGTGCCCGTTGAAGTTCTCTGCCGTCGAGTAGTAGTAACGAGTCCTTGTCAAGGAATCCTGCTCTTATTGTGTTGTTTAACACAGTGTTGCTTGGGTGTCCCATGCGTGCGTGCCAGATGTCTTCGGAGGCGCGGTGTCCGGGTGAGCGTCGAGACGCGTCGGAGTTGGAGTAGAAGCTGGCGGTGAAGTTTGCGCTTCTATGGACTTCCCGTTGAGCCGGATTCAGCTGCTGTGCGGGTGTTGGTGGTGCTTCGTCAACGAGGACTGGTGTCGTTGTTGCTGCTACTGTTGTTGTTTCTGCTACTGTCGATGATGTCTCTGCTGCTGCCGATGTTGTCTCTGCTGCTGCCAATGTTTTCTCTGCTGCTGCCGATGTTGTCTCTGCTGCTGCCGATGTTGTCTCTGCTGCTGCCGATGTTGTCTCTGCTGCTGCCGATGTTGTCTCTACTGCTGCCGAATGTTGTATTGTTACTAACGCACGTGTTCGTTCTGCTTCAGGAATGGTATGTGAATACCAAAAGCCTTCCGGACTGAAGTCGGGGTCGAGATCCGGCGGGTGCGTCCAAGATGTGAAGGTGACGATCCCGTCACTGTCTGCGGTGCCCGGGTCTGGGACGAAATCGAGAACGAAGACATTGTTTTCTTCAGGACCGCCTTTCCGATGTAGAGGCCGCCCTTCCCGTGGTACAGCTTGAACTCCTGGGTGGTACTGTCGGCTTCCAGATGTATGCCTTTCGCCATCAACTGACTGACACTCAGTAAGTTGTAGCCAAGTCCTTCTGCTATTAGGACTTTGGACATTTGCAGTATGACATTCGTCTCTCGTGACTGAAGTTGCACTACTCCTTGTCGTCGTGTGCGCAGGTTCTGATTATTGGCGAGAGTGATGACGACTTCTCGTTGAAGTTGGTGCTCGTGTTGAACGAAACGTCCTGAAGAGCACATATGTTGTCCGCAGCAACTGTCCAAGAACCATGTATCCTTCCCGGACGGCTCGCTTTGAGCGATGGCGGCGTACGTCGGGTTTGGTTGAAGTGACTCGCGGCGAGGCGTGCTGTTGCCGAGTTGTTCTTCTGGTGAGTAATATGGTGGTGACTTAGTTACGCAGGAGTCACTCAGCCTTGCCATGCAGCTGACGATGTTTCTTGTTCCTTTCAAAGGTTGTCCCGTCGATGTTGTTGAGACTTGTACTGAAGTTGTCGGATTTGCTTGCGTTGAGGCGACTTGACTGCTTGAAGGGCGAAGTTGGCGTTGCGGCGACGTTGACTGTTGTCAATTCGGGCAGTGCGTATGAGGATGCCCTGAAGTCTTGCAGAGGTGGCAGAACGGAGGTACGATTTTCGGTCGATTGTTGTTGTTGTGGCGCCGTTTAGTGTGAAACGCGAATTCGGGCACTAATACCTTTCTCTTGTGTCGTTCTTCTTGCAGGTCCATGTCTTGCTGCTCGGCGTGGATTTCGGCGCAAAGTGCTGCTTCAGAAATTTTCCCGTGGGCTCGTAGTATGGCGCGAGTGGAGCGCCAGTGAGGACCAAGACCGCCGATGACAACCGTGACGAGGGCGTCCTCTGTAATTGATCCTCCACATCGAAGAAGCTTGTCGCGCAGCTCGCGGCAGCGACTAATATACGCCATTCCCTTCTCGCCTGGTTTCATTTCGATTGTTGTCAGCTGCGCCATTAACCGACTTTGGTTTACGCTGTCTGTTGCTTGATACAGGCTCTTCAAGTGATTCTACGCGAGCTCCGCGGTGTTGCCGTAGCCTCGGTAAGACCGTATGTTTTGTTGTTGGGTTGGAGTGATGTTCCTCAGTAGTATCGTGTACGCCGTTATCGATTGATAGGTGTATTGCTGCTTCTCATACTGTGTGCCGTTTGTTGGGTATGGCAGGGACCCGTCGAAGAAGCCAAGGATTTGCGCTCCTTCCATCATCAGCTCAAATTCGAACGACCAGGTAAAGAAATCCTTCCCGTTGAAGGGTTTTGTCGTTTGCAGTTTTAGAACGTGCGCGAACTGCGACTGAACTTGTAGTGCGTCCAGCATTCTCTCTTGTCCTGGTGCAGGTTGTGGTTGTGGCATGAAGCCGACGGAGCCGCGCTGGGGCTCGTACGGAGCGAAGGTAGGTTGCTGTTGTTGATTCCCGCATGCGTAGGATGAGCCATCGAGACTCATGGGCGTCACGTTGTTGTTGTTGTTGCTGTTGTTTGATTGCGCCGGTGCTCCTTGCTGATGCTGCTCGTAGAACGACATGAAGGAGAAGAACTTCTCCATCATGCTTGGATCGAAGCCCACGCCTTGGTTTGCGGGTGTTTCAGTAGACCCAGCTGCCGGTCTCGTTGTTGTGCCTTCCTCTGTCTGTAGGCCAGAGGCAGGAGGTGGAGTAGGAGTAGTACCAGGAGAGCCGTTGGAGGAGCTCCTCTCCTTTCTGGTAGACATGTCTCTTGGTGTATCAGGTGTTAAGGAGAAATAATTTTAACCCTAACTAGCTCTCATACCATGTTGGGCTGAGTGTCCCTTAGGATCTTTGGTAGGGTTAAACTCTGAGTAGAGTGATGTAGTAGCGGAAGCGTTTAAATGAAGTCCTTGAACCACCTTGCGCTGGTATGTGAGGGCAAAGTAAGTTAATTAAAACAAGCAAGTACAAAGGTTTATATAAGAGTACAGGGAATACGAAGAGATATAATTAAACTGTTTTGCTGTTGCGGTTCGATACAGTGCGACTCGGGCAACTGCTCAATGTCGAGTCAGTTGTGTGTCCTTGCTGTCGCGCTGCATTTGTCAAGTCAAAGGTTGCTGACCTTTGACTTTCGCGTAACCTCCAGCGGTTACTTCAACCTCCTAGGGTTGACTCGCTGGTGCCTCGATACGCTCTGCTTCGCTTGTGCCTTGGTGTTTCGACACGACAGAGGCGCTTAAGATTGTTTGTTCCCAACAAAAACCAGGGTCTTGCATTCGATGGAAATGCATGGTGCCAGTCAGGGAGTTGTTTTAATCGAGGATGAAAAAGCTTGACTAGGGATGACAGGATGACCATGTTGAACACAAGTTTGAGTTGGTATGGTAACCGTCAAAGCCACATGTCTGACTTTAAGATGTCAACAGGCTTGATGATTGTACTTGGAAGGTGCTGTAGATGCTTTCAAAATCAGAGGCACCTTGCGCAAAGTGCACATGGGTGTGAAACAAACTGGATTCTAAAGTCCCATTTCATGGTTTCCAATAACAGAAACTATGGTGATCTACTTTCCAAAGCCTAGGCAGTAGTTTTATACAGGCATTAGTCTGGTTTTCCTCTGCCCATCCTACACTTTCGTACGTCACAGTGACTCAGTGAGGCTCAAACTGTGGTTTGCACGGACGCTGCCAGCTCCTCCAGCATCTCCTTCTGCTCCATCGCCACCATGGACTGGTGGGGGCAGGAGAGGGGGAGAGGAAGGAAAGAGGGAAGGGAGGGATGGGGGAAAGAGGGTGGAATGGGATTGCAGAAGAGAGACTTTAGTGAGAGGGAAGGTAAGCCAGCATTTCTTTATGCTCCATCGCTACCATGGACTGGCGGGCTGGGGGGGTGGGGAGAGGTGGGTGGAGAAGAGAAAGACAGCAAGACTTGAAGGAAGATGCTCTTGCGTTTTGTTGAGTGCCACGATCTCCTGCTCCTTCTTTGCGTGCTTTTGAGGCGCCTCTCCTGCTCCTTGTTGAAGTTGGCCGGAAAGGTAATCTTGTGTTTGAGTGAGTGCCACCATCTCCTTGTGCTCCTTCCTTGCGTGCCACTGACACCATGGACTGGGCAAGCGGGAAGGAGGGGAGCAAGGGATCGGGCGGGAAAGAAAAACAGAAGAGACAACAGAAGAGATGAGAGAAGAGAAAACAGAAGAGAAAACAGAAGAGGACGGACAGGGAGTGGGGGTATTTGAATAAATGGCATTCTCAGCCTTACTTGTTACAGTTGAAAAATCACCAGTCCTCACCTGGATGGCATCGACTGTCCTCACCTGGATGGCATTGTCCGTCCTCACCTGGATGGCATTGTCCGTCCTCACCTGGATGGCGTTGTCAATATCGCCATTGAGGAACGAGCCGAGGTCATAGTTGATCTTGGTGCGATGGTCCGACACCCGGTTGTCCTGATGGTGTGGGGGGTGGGGAGGGGCGGGTTTGTCTTATCATGATGGTCTGAGTCCTGACCCCTCGTTTTGTACCATTGGCTGGGATGGCAAGCCAAGCCCGCCTCATTGCCCGCATCACATGCCCGCCTCATTGCCCGCATCACATGCCCGAATCATTGAACGCATCACATGCCCGAATCATTGAACGCATCACATGCCCGCCTCATTGCCCGCATCACATGCCCGAATCATTGAACGCATCACATGCCCGAATCATTGAACGCATCACATGCCCGCCTCATTGCCCGCATCACATGCCCGAATCATTGAACGCATCACATGCCCGAATCATTGAACGCATCACATGCCCGCCTCATTGCCCGCATCACATGCCCGAATCATTGAACGCATCACATGCCCGCCTCATTGCCCGCATCACATGCCCGCCTCATTGCCCGCATCACATGCCCGAATCATTGAACGCATCACATGCCCGCCTCATTGCCCGCATCACATGCCCGAATCATTGAACGCATCACATGCCCGAATCATTGAACGCATCACATGCCCGCCTCATTGCCCGCATCACATGCCCGAATCATTGAACGCATCACATGCCCGCCTCATTGCCCGCATCACATGCCCGAATCATTGAACGCATCACATGCCCGCCTCATTGCCCGCCTCATTGCCCGCATCACATGCCCGAATCATTGAACGCATCACATGCCCGCCTCATTGCCCGCATCACATGCCCGCCTCATTGCCCGCATCACATGCCCGAATCATTGAACGCATCACATGCCCGCCTCATTGCCCGCATCACATGCCCGAATCATTGAACGCATCACATGCCCGCCTCATTGCCCGCATCACATGCCCGAATCATTGAACGCATCACATGCCCGCCTCATTGCCCGCATCACATGCCCGAATCATTGAACGCTTCACATGCCCGAATCATTGAACGCATCACATGCCCGCCTCATTGCCCGCATCACATGCCCGAATCATTGAACGCATCACATGCCCGCCTCATTGCCCGCATCACATACCCGAATCATTGAACGCATCACATGCCCGCCTCATTGCCCGCATCACATGCCCGAATCATTGAACGCATCACATGCCCGAATCATTGAACGCATCACATGCCCGCCTCATTGCCCGCATCACATGCCCGAATCATTGAACGCATCACATGCCCGAATCATTGAACGCATCACATGCCCGCCTCATTGCCCGCATCACATGCCCGAATCATTGAACGCATCACATGCCCGCCTCATTGCCCGCATCACATGCCCGCCTCATTGCCCGCATCACATGCCCGAATCATTGAACGCATCACATGCCCGCCTCATTGCCCGCATCACATGCCCGCCTCATTGCCCGCATCACATGCCCGAATCATTGAACGCATCACATGCCCGCCTCATTGCCCGCATCACATGCCCGCCTCATTGCCCGCATCACATGCCCGCCTCATTGCCCGCATCACATGCCCGCCTCATTGCCCGCATCACATGCCCGCCTCATTGCCCGCATCACATGCCCACCTTGTAGTTGTAGGTTCGAATCTTTTCGGAGCGTGAACCCGTGCCGACCTGCATGGGGACAGGCGCGACGGGAAAAGGATACGGGAAAAGCACAACAGGCCACAGGGTTCCGTGTTTTCCAGTCTTTGAAAAAAAGCGATGCGTGCGGATGGGCGAGGAATATTCAGGCGCCTAAAAAAAGAAAGAGGCTTGGGGTGGGGATGGAGGGGACATGAGGGTGAGGATGTGCGCGCTGACAAAGGGTGATGAGGGGGGGTGAGGAGAAATGGGGCGAGGAGAAGTGCACAGAGACGGAGGTGCCAGAGGCCCACGGAATGAACTCGTGCCACATCCACACCGCAGAACCTCACCTGCGATCGTCTGCGAGAGCTGACTTCGTCCTGTTGCTCCTGCAGCATGCGCTCATAGCTGTGAGGAAAAGGGAGAGGGAGAGGGAAGACAACTTTTGAGACGTCTCTGTGCACTTCTAAAGGGAGAGGGAGAGGGAAGACAGAGGGAGAGGGAAGACAGAGGGAGAGGGAAGACAGAGGGAGAGGGAAGACAGAGGGAGAGGGAAGACAGAGGGAGAGGGAAGACAGGGAGAGGGAAGACAGAGGGAGAGGGAAGACAGAGGGAGAGGGAAGACAGAGGGAGAGGGAAGACAGAGGGAGAGGGAAGACAGAGGGAGAGGGAAGACAGAGGGAGAGGGAAGACAGAGGGAGAGGGAAGACAGAGGGAGAGGGAAGACAGAGGGAGAGGGAAGACAGAGGGAGAGGGAAGACAGAGGGAGAGGGAAGACAGAGGGAGAGGGAAGACAGAGGGAGAGGGAAGACAGAGGGAGAGGGAAGACAGAGGGAGAGGGAAGACAGAGGGAGAGGGAAGACAGAGGGAGAGGGAAGACAGAGGGAGAGGGAAGACAGAGGGAGAGGGAAGACAGAGGGAGAGGGAAGACAGAGGACAAACAGAGTGAGGGAGAGGAGGCATGGTGACTTTGTTGCAAACTAGCTTCGTCCTGTTGCTCCTGCAGAATGCGCTCATAGCTGTGAGGGAGTGGGTGGGGGTGAGAGAGGAGGGAACAGAGGGCAGACATTGAGTGAGAATAGATGAAAAGAGAGCGTGCCATGGTGACCGTGCCGCTGACTAGATTCATCTTCTTGCTCCGCCCGACCCTCCTTTGACATCTCCCCACTTTCCCACCTGTCCTCCTCATCTCCAGCCATCTCCACTCACAGCTTGGCGCGCAGCAGCTGCATGGCGCGGATCTTGTCCTTGAGCTGCGAGCAATCCTCTATTCACCCTTCCTTCCCCTGCTCCATTCCAGACCCCTCCCACCCCTCTTTGCCACACCCCCCATCTCCCCTCACCCTCCCCGGCTTCCTCCACTCACAGCTTGGCGCGCAGCAGCTGCATGGCACTCACAGCTTGGCGCACAGCAGCTGCATGGCACTCACAGCTTGGCGCGCAGCAGCTGCATGGCACTCACAGCTTGGTGCGCAGCAGCTGCATGGCACTCACAGCTTGGCCCTGAGCAGCTGCATGGCGCGGATCTTGTTCTTGAGCTGCGAGCGCTCCTCCGTGCAGAAGATGCGGATGCCCGTGGGCTTGTGGAACAGGTCTGCCGCCGTCTCCACCTTGTTCACGTTCTGCCCGCCTGCGCCTCCTGACCGCGCTGTCGTCAGTTCTATGTCTTTCGGGTCGATCACCACTTCTACCTCGTCGATCTAATGGCGTGGGGTAAGGAGATGGGGTGACAGGGGTGGGGTGCGATGGAAAAGGGCATGGGAAATGAAACAGCGGAGGGCGGGAAAGAGGGACGGAGTGAGGGACGCCCGTGGGCTTGTGGAACAGGCCTGCTGCCGTCTCCACCTTGTTCACGTTCTGCCCACCCGCCCCTCCTGACCGCGCTGTGGTGAGCTCGATGTCCTTTGGGTTGATCACCACTTCTAGCTTGTCTATCTGCGGACGTGAGGGGGTGGAGGGAAGGGCAATGGGGGAAGGGAGAGAGGGAGGGAGGGAGGGAGGGAGGGAGGGAGGGAGGGAGGGAGGGAGGGAGGGAGGGAGGGAGGGAGGGAGGGAGGGAGGGAGGGAGGGAGGGAGGGAGGGAGGGAAGGAGGGAGGGAGGGAGGGAGGGAGGGAGGGAGGGAGGAGGGAGCGAGGGAGGGAGGGAGGGAGGGAGGGAGGGAGGGAGGGAGGGAGGGAGGGAGGGAGGGAGGGAGGGAGGGAGGGAGGGAGGGAGGGCAGGAGGGCAGGAGGGAGGGAGAAGAGAGTGAGCAAAGTAAGGGGTGCTCGTGGGCTTGTGGAACAGGTAGATGCCGTCTCCACCTTGTTCACGTTCTGCCCGCCTGCCCCGCCCGACCAGCCCGTAGTCACCACCTCCACCCCGTTATCTGATGGGGTGGGGAGCATTGAGGGGGAAAAGAGCGTAGGAAAGGAAGCACTGTGGGAGAGAGTGTCATGGTGAGCTCGATGTCCTCGGGGTGAATGGGGTGGTTGGGGTGAGGAGAGGAAGGGAAAAGGGCAAGGGAAAGGAAACAAGGAGGGAGGGAAAGGAACTTAGAGGAGATTGCTTTTGAGGTGACTCACGAGGTATGCACACACCCTGCCTGCCTGCCGACTCAGTGGCAGGCACGCGCTGCACGCGGTGCACACCACTCTCGTACTTGAGCTTGCTGTACACGCGCTCGCCCTCCCCCTTTCCACCCTTCTCACCTCAGGCATGATCACACCTCCATCTCCACCTTCCCGCCCTCTCACTCACTCACCTCGGCATAATGCCAGCAGCAGTAGCAGTGCAGGTGTGGTGTGCGCCCTGCCTGCTGACTCTGTGCCTGCCTGCTCCCATCCCCACTTTCTCCCTTTACCCCCTTCCCCCATTCCCTCCTCCTTCTCTCCCTTCCCCTTTCCACTCACCTCAGGCATGATGGCCACAGTGGCAGTGGAGGTGTGCACCCTCCCTGCAGACTCAGTGGCGGGAACAGGAAAGCGCTGCACGCGGTGCCCCTTCACCTGCTCCCGACCCCGCATTGACCCTTTGCCTCACCTCGGGCATGATGGCCACAGTGGCAGTGGAGGTATGCACCCGGCCTGCAGACTCAGTGGCAGGCACGCGCTGCACGCGGTGCACCCCGCTCTCGTACTTGAGCTTGCTGTACACGCGCTCGCCCGCTATCTCCATCACGTACTCCTTGAAGCCCCCCATCTCCGCCTGTGCGCACATGGGATGAGAGAGATCGGGCGGGACGAGGGGGGAGATGGAGCACGGTGTGTGTGTGTGTGCAGGGTCACTCTGCACTCCCATGCTTGACTTGAGCTGGCCGCACTTCCTGGCTGCCTATCTCCAACATGTCATCCTTCAACGCCCCCCATCTCCGCCTGTAGGGGAAGGGCAGGGGGACAGACGGCAGCGAGAGGGGGAGGAGATGGAGCAGCATGCAAGGTCTCTCTGCACTCCCATGCTTGGCTAGAGCTCGCTGTGCACCCGCCCGCTATCTCCTATGTCACTTTTCAGTCGACTCAAATCAAAGGTCACCTTGCTTGCTGTATGCGCCTCTCCTGCTATCTCCGGCACGTATGCGAACCGAAACGATGCAAGGCGAAGCAGGTGATTTTGATTTGAAGGTACCTGCTTAGCACCAAGTACGCCCTCTCGCCCCCTCTCACTCATCCTCTCCTCTCCTCACGGACCCCCTCACCCCCTCCCTGGCTCATGTCCTCACTTCCTTCCTTGCTTATCCCCGCACTCTCCCCCTCACTCACTCCATCACTCTCCCCCTCACTCACTCCATCACTCTCCCCCTCACTCACTCCATCACTCTCCCCCTCACTCACTCCATCACTCTCCCCCTCACTCACTCCATCACTCTCCCCCCCCACATCCCCTCCCGCACTCCCTCGCGGACCTCAGTGCAGGAAACAGGAGACACTCGCCACCCGTTCTTGTCCGCGTAGCGACCGTACATCTTCACCTGGTGGAGAGCGGTGCAGATGGGTGCACAAGGAGCAACTTAATGAAGGGTGAAAAAGCAAGAACTGTCACGCACATCACTTGTGACAAATAAGAGTAGAGCAGTGCAGTGCAGTGCGGTGCAGTGCAGTCCATTGAACTGCAGGGCAGAACTGGGAAGGGAGGCGTTCTATTCCACGTTATGCAAGGCTTGCTGCTGTTGTGGGTCAGGTGGGGAACGAGTGCATCGTGAACGCCGGTCAATGCCAGTCAACGCCGGTCAACACAGCCAGAGCAGGAAACGTCAACAAGAGTGGGTGCGAGAATGCACTCACCAGGTCGCCTGCCCAGATGCCCGCCTCATCCCCTCCCGTGCCCGCCCGCACTGTGGTGATGGACAGACAGAAGGGGGGGGAGCAGGGAGAGGAGGGCAGGGGGAGGAGGGCGAGAGCGGAGTATGGAAAACAGGACCAGCACACCTGACCCAACACCTCCAACTACCCCCCACCTCCCACCACACACACACCTTTTCACAACGCACATGCACCTTCAACGAGGTGAGTAACTCGCCTTGACTCGTCCGAGTTACTCGTGGGGGGCCGAGTAACGAGTATTACTCGACGAGATTTTTGTGCTCGTCGAGAACTCGGCCTTCCTGATGGGCATTATCGGCTACTCAGGGGGAGAGTTTTGCTCAGCTCGGGACAAAACTCGGTCGCGCAAGACCCTGGACGAGTATTCGAGTTTTGCTCGACTCGTCAGTTTGACCATGTAATCTAGGGGTCGGTGGGCTGGGCAGAAGCAGCACCTTGAGAGTCGCCCCTCCAGCTGTTCTTGAGTCGACCCAAAAGGCAACCACACACCTCCCAGCACACCTGATCCACACCTCAACCTCAAGCTCACCCCCAGCACGATGTTCCTTGCATCGAGGGGTTCAGTGGGCAGCAGCAACACCTTCAAATTCAAGCGCCCCACCAGCTCTCCTAACTTCGCCTCCAACTCGAGTCTACCCAACAAACACACCCACCAACCCCCCGCATACACCCCTCACCTTCCAGCATGATGTTCCTTGCATCAAGCGGGTCGGTGGGCAGCAGCAGCACCTTGAGGCGCCCCTCCAGCTCCTCTAGCTGCGCCTCCAGCTCCCCCACCTCCTCCCCGGCCATCTCCGCCATCTCCGGGTCCGATGCACTGTCCTTCATCAAGGCTGGTGCAAGGAGTGGTAAGGAGAAGTGGGAGGCAATGGGAAGGAGTGGAAATGAGTGGGGAGTGGGTAAGCTGTTTAGATCTCCAGCTCGCCCACCTCCTCCCCCGCCATCTCCGCCATAACTGGGTCCGATGCGCTGTCCTTCATTAGGGCTGATGCAAGGAGCGGGAAGGAATGGGGAGGAGTGGGAAGAGTTGGTGCAAGGGGTGGGTGCAATGCAAGCAAAGGGTGCAACGGGGTGCAAGGGGTGCAAGCATTGCCAGGCATTGCAATAGTCACCTTTTGCGTCAGCCAGTTGCTGCTGCTTGTCCTTCCACTCCGCATAGGCACTCGCCACCTGCCAGGCCATGGTGGGAATGTGTGATGGCGAGGATGTGAGATTAGTAAGTGGCACTGCGGGTTGATGCATGATACGATGTGGCATGTCATGGACGATGTGGGATGGGCATGTGGGGATGTGGGGAAGTGGAATGGGATGTGGAATGTGTGTAGAGGATGTGGGGATGTGGGGATGTGGGATGTGGGATGTGGGGATGTGGGGATGTGGGATGTGGGATGTGGGATGTGGGATGTGGGGAAGTGGAATGGGATGTGGAATGTGTGTGGAGGATGTGGGGATGTGGGATCTGATCGGGGGCGTGGGATGTGGACAGGTGGGCACGCAATGACACACCACCCACCCATGTATGCATACCAGCGCCACGTTAGATGCAGCCCATTCCGCGGCCCCTTATCATTCCATTCACCTCTCCCCTGCTTTCTCACCCCACGTGGCACTGATAGGATGGTGCTGATAGGATGGTACTGATAGGATGGTACTGATAGGATGGTACTGATAGGATGGTACTGATAGGATGGTACTGATAGGATGGTACCGATAGGATGGTACTGATAGGATGGTACTGCTCATACAAGTCCTCCCCCCAAGCAGGGTGAGTATCCATCGTCAGTGCTCCCAACCCAACTACCTCCCCTCCCCCTCAACTCATCAATCACCTCGTACCTACTCCCAACTACCTCCCCTCCCCCTCAACTCATCAATCACCTCGTACCTACTCCCAACTACCTCCCCTCCCCCTCAACTCACCAATCACCTCGTACCTACTCCCAACTACCTCGGACCCCACTCCTCTATCCCCCTCTCTCCTCCTTTACCCCCTCTATCCGCTCCATATACCCCTTTGCTCACCCACTCACCTCCTCGATCTCCCCGGCGGACTTGGCAATGCGCATGTACTCTGTCGCGTTGGACGCCACCTCGGGATCTGCCAGTCGAATCTGGTGGTGGGGCACGCGCGGGGGGAACAGGTGGGGGGAACGGGTGGGGGGAACGGGTGGGGGGCACGGGTGGGGGGAACGGGTGGGGGGAACGGGTGGGGGGCACGGGTGGGGTGGGGGGCACGGGCGGGGGGAACGGGCGGGGGGGACGGGTGGGGGAAACGGGTGGGGGGCACGGGTGGGGGGAACGGGTGGGGGGAACGGGTGGGGGGAACGGGTGGGGGGAACAGGTGGGGGGAACGGGTGGGGGGAACGGGTGGGGGGAACGGGTGGGGGGCACGGGTGGGGTGGGGGGCACGGGCGGGGGGAACGGGCGGGGGGGACGGGCGGGGTGACGGGTGGGAGGAACGGGTGTTATTGAGGATGGAGGAAAGGAAGGGGGAAAAGGGTGTGGGGAAAGAATGGGGGAAAGGAAGGAGGAAAAGGGTGTGGGGAAAGAATGGGGGAAAGGAAGGGGGGAAAAGGGTGTGGGGAAAGAATGGGGGAAAGGAAGGGGGGAAAATGGTGTGGGGAAAAAATGGGGGAAAGGAAGGGGGGAAAAGGGCGTGGGGAAAGAATGGGGGAAAGGAAGGGGGAAAGCCGGGGCAGATAGAAACAAATGGAGCAGAGCCGGGTTTAAGGAGCACATGCAGAAGCAAGGGGCAGGAAATGGTAGGGGTACAATGGGAAGACGAAGAGGAAATGGATAGAACGCAAAGAGAATGCGACTCACAGAAAGTTCTTTGAAGGTTCGCTCTGCAGAGTCTAGCTTCGTGATGACGTAAGCCTCCTGATGGGGAAAGAGAGAATGGGAAGAGTGGAGAGCGGAGACGGAAGAGGAGAAAAGGGAGGGGAGCGGGTGGAGTAGGAGGGGAATGGAGGGGCTAGGGTGAAGGAGCTGGCTGGGTAGGCGGGAGGAAGTGATGAGGCTTAAACCCTTCAGAGAAAAGGGAGAGAGCTCTGAAAGAACCTGCGCGCTGAACCTGAGAGAGTGCCGCATGGCAGAGAAGCGTTGGTCTATACCAACCAACATGGCGCACTCCTGAGAAGCTGGTTCGGCTTCCAGGAGACTCCGAAAGGCACGCTCAGGCGATCATGACATCGCCCCCTTTCTGAGACAGTGTGAACCCAGAAGCTACTGTCAGAGCTCTTCAGGTGGAGGCGAAACTTCCATTCTACTCCGCGCCAGAAGGTCGACAGAAGGACCGTGGGAGCCAGTCTACCGAGGAGCGGACAGCACTGGGTTGATCGTGATTGTGATTTGACCACGAGTCACGGGAATTGCGGTGATCGGACTCACTGCGCTACGAAGACAGAATCGGCGCCAGCACGCACCAGAGCACTACGGACAACGAATGCCATCCCTGGCCGAACCTCGCGCCCCGAAGCTCCTGCATTCCCCGCAATCTGCGCAGCGGAGCGCTGCCGCCACGTGGAGGCTCCGATTAACGCGGAACAGCTGGCGAGCGAATGGGCTCGTTGCTGAAGAGAGCATCCTGCGGCAGACCCGGCGAGATTTGCGGCGGGATTGGCGGTGAGGCGACACGAGTGGACCGCATTGCACCTGCCGGTTCCCGTCGCGGTCGACGTGACAGGCGAAGTGGTAACCGCGCTGCATGATGTGGTGGCGACGCCGTGGGCTGCGACGGACTGAAGACGAGAAGCCATTGCGAAACGATAGTTTCAGAAAAGTTCACTTGACTGAGCAAGCGGACTGAATATCAGGGACGTTGGGTTGGTTGGGGATTCCTGAGGTCGCTGCTGTATCTGATCGGCTGGGGCGGGTGATGACTGCTGTTCCTGCTCGGGCACTTTTAGCGAAAATATTACACTTGGTAACTCTACACGGGATGCAGGCGGTTTTCTTGATTGGCGAGGTGGCTTAAGACTCTCACGAACTTGTGGTGCCTACCGCGCCACGTCAACTGACGCTACTCTGTTACCGAATCTACAATTAGTTCGTTATGAGATAACTCGGTAGCTACAGAATGTACATATCACATCATCTTTCGTCTACGCTCATATATCTTGTAACCAGCTTGTTGTCAAAGCAATCCTTCCATCACGTCAGGTGTGAGCCTGATGAATCTTAATTTTACAATGCTTCTTCATCCACAACTAGTTTGCACAGTCATCACTCATATACATGGGTGCACAAGAAGAAAATGGGAGACACGAGAATGAGAAAGAGAAAGGGAGACACTAAAACAGAAAGGCTTGTACTGTACATCCACCAACCAGCCTCACATGCAGCTCCTTATTCCGTGGTGCGTGCCAACATCAAGTGCTACGCCTGTTACCTTTTCTGCTGCTCGTGATGCTGCTGTTGCTGCTGGTGATGTTGATGCTGATGATGCTGGGGGTGGGGTGGATGCCGGTGCTGCTGCTGATGATGTCGCTGGTGGGGATGAGGATGGGGGTGGGGGTGGCGGCGCTGCTGCTGCAGGCGGCGCATCTCGCTCTTCTCGTGCTCCTCGTACACGGGCAGGCTGCGGATGTGCTGCACCTCCTTCAGCAGCACCTCCTCCGTGATGTTGTCTCGGATGCTCTCCATCACCTGTGAGAGAGGGGAGGCAGCAGCATGAGAGGAGGCAGCACATACATCCACACACACACATCCCCCCCTACACATGTGCTGCACCTCCTTCAGCAGCACCTCCTCTGTGATGTTTTCTCGGATGCTCTCCATCACCTACGCGGGCCAGAAGTGCATGCAGACAGCCAGGTTACAAGCATGAGATCAGATCATGAGGCCACACACACATATACACACACACGCGTGTGCGACGCGTTGGGCGCCCAACCCTCATGACTTCCCACACGCCATCGGACCATAACATGCATTACAAAAACCTTTACCACAAGCAGACTTATAAGTCAACTCAAAAGAGGTGACTTTTGAGTCGACTCAAAAGTCAGCCCTCATGACCTCCCACACGCCATCGGACCATAACATGCATTACACAAACCTTTACCACAAGCATCAGCACGCCCACCTTGAGGTACGTGTGCCATGCGTTGGGGTGCTCCTTGTCAGTGCGCACGCGCATGAACTCCCACTCGGCCTCGTCCTTCTTCCAGCAGCACTCCACTATCTTCCCCTCCAGCTCCTTCGCCTCCTCCTCACTCATGCCTGAGGGAAAAAGACGGGAGAGTAAGGGGGGGAAGGGGGGTTGGGTGGTTGTTGTGGGTGTTTTTGGGCAAAGAGAGGTGTTGTGTGAATGTGTAGAGCTGAAACCCCATGTCGTGATGCCAGCAGCAGCACTCCACTATCTTGCCCTCTAGCTCGTTCGCCCCTCCTCACTCATGCCTTCAGGGGGCGGGGGGCGGAAGGAAGGGGAGGGGGGTGGGGGGGGGATTGGGTTTCAGGGGCGAGGACAAGCGTTATGGATGAATGGAAACTCCATGTTGTGGCGCAAACAGCACTCCACTATCTTCCCTTCCCCTCCAGTGACCTTGCCTCCTCATTCGTCTCCAAGGAGGGTATAGAAAAAACAGGGAGAGGATACGGGAGGCAGGGGGTGAAGAGAGGTTGGGGGTGGTTTGGTTTGTCTTAGGGCAAGTGAGGTGTTATAAATGAGCTCCAAGTTTGGTTCAGCAGCAATCCACTATATTCCTATCCAGCTCGTTGGCTCCTCCGCACGCATTCCTAAGCAGGGAAAGAATGGAGAGGAGTTTTGTGCGCGAAGTGTTATGAAAGCGCAAATGTGAGCAGAACTCCGCTTGCTTGCCCTCCAACTGTGATCAGTCTATTTTCCAGTCGACTCAACAACAGACTCATCAAACGTGAGAGGAACTCCCTAGCTTGCCCTCCAACTCTGTTCCCCCCTCCTTACTCGTGTCGAGCAGCGGAGGTGTGGATTGGACAAAGAGACATGGTTATGGCATAGTCAGAATGGTCTTTTACACTGGTGTGGGGCCAGAGCAGGAGAGCAGGAGGGAAGGAGGAGAGCAGGAGAGCCAAGGAAAGCACGAGGCACCGACCAGGGCGGGTGAACTTGGCTGCTGATCGCGCTCGCAGCGTCTTCCTGTCAGAGAGACTTTTGAGACGTCTCAAAGGAGCAAAGAGCAAAGCAGAGAGCACAGCAAAGCAGGAGGGAGGCACCGACCAGGGTGGGTGAACTTGGCTGCTGGTAGCGCTCGCAGCGTCTTCCTGTCGGACAGCAGCAGCACCCACTTGCCCTCCGGTGATTTCTGCACCGCAGCACGCACGGGGTACGACGGGGGGAGAGGAGTGGGGAAGATGAAGAGGAGGTGCTGAAAGTGAGACGAGGTGTAGTGGAAAGAGGAAAGGAGCCAGGGGGGTTGAGTGAGCACAGGGGGAGTGTGCTGTGTTGGAGGGGGAATCAACAGGGTTGGGTAGGAGTTAACAGGAGTCAATAGGAGTCAACCAGAGGTCAGCGGGAGTCAGCAGGAGTCCACATGAGTCAAGGTAAGTCAACAGGAGTCAGCATCACGAGTCATCAGGAGTCAATGCACCTTGAGGCAGAAGTCAACGGAGTTCATGTGAGCATACTTCCACTTAAGCAGGCCCTCGTGCGTGCGTGGCACATATGCATCGTTCCACCCCTGCACAAGGGAAGGGCAGGCGAGGGCAGGCGAGGGCAGACGAGGGCAGGCGAGGGCAGGCGAGGAAATTAGGGGCATACAAGAGAGACGCTCAATATAAGCACGTAGGGCAAGGAGCTCATGAGGGCAAGGCGAATGAGCATCGTTCATTCCATCCTTGCCTGCGAAAGATCATGAAAGATATGGAAAGGTGATGAAAGGTGGCGTTTGGGAAGGGGAGGCAAAAAGTCGCAACTTGGGTCCAGGATGCGGGGGGATGGAGGGGGCAGAGAACGAGGGAGGAGATGCCAGAAGCAGAGGGTGTGAGGAAGAAGCAGAGGGTGTGAGGAAGAAGCAGAATGGAAAAGCAAGGATGCAGAGATGACCTCACTTGGACAACCAGCCTACTTGCATGGCAACCAAGTGAATGTGACATTTGACTGGGTGAGAGCACACTGGCTTGCTACAAGCTCGCCTGCATGTCATCGCAGTGACTGACTGACTGACAGCCTGACTGACTGACTGACTGACTGACTGACTGACTGACTGACTGACTGACTGACTGACAGACTGACTGACTGACTGACTGACTGACTGACTGACTGACTGACTGACTGACGGACTGACAGACTGACGATGGATGTGCAGGATGAGTCCGTCAGACTCGTGGCTGAGCTTGGGAATGAAGTTGTGCCCACCTGGGACTCAATGAGTCACTCATTCCTCACTCACTCACTCACTCACTCACTCACTCCCTCACTCACTCACTCACTCACTCCCTCACTCACTCACTCCCTCACTCACTCCTCACTCCCTCCCTCACTCCCTCACACACTCTCTCACTCACTCACCGACCGACTGACGGACCTGCAGGATGAGTCCATCGGACTCGTGGCTGAGCTTGGGGATGAAGTCGTGCAGCAGCTTGCCCACTGTGCTCAGCATGTAGAAGTCCTTGCGCCGCACCTAATCATAGCATGCATGGGGAAGAGTGCATGGGAGGACACGGGGCGTGGGGTGTGGGGTATGGGGTATGGGGTATGGAGCACAGCAGCTTGCCCACCGTGCTGAGCATGTAGAAGTCCTTGCGCCGCACCTGGTGGGTGGGGGTGATGGTGGGGGTGCATGGTTGGTACATGAGGCACAAGGCATGGATCATGCATGGGGCAAAGCAGCTTGCCTACCGTGCTGACCATGTAAAAGCCCTTGCGCCGCACCTGGTGGTGCATGCATGGGGAATAATGCAAGGGGCATGTGGCATGGCGCATGACACGTGGCACATGTTGCTTGACATGTGAGGCACGAGCAGGCAGGCATGGAGCATGGGGTATGGAACATCACGCATGACATATGACAAATGGATGTTATGCACAATACAGGATTCACTTTCATGTGACATTCTCCTGACAATCAACTTTCATATGTTAACACTGTCCACCAGACCACCCTTCAACCTGTTGAAACCCTTCCAGCTGAGCGCACCTTGAAGTCCTCCCAATCCAAGCTGTGGTCATACAGGGTGTTCATCGCTGCATCCATCTTCAAATCCTTCAAGCTGCAATCACCTTTCAACCTGAGCGCACCTTGAAGCCCTCCAGGCTGTAGTCGTACGGGGGGTTCATTCATGGCTGCATGCATCGTCTGCGGCGGGGCACCACCTGGAAGCCATCAAGTTGCAATCACCCTGGAAACCCTTCAAGGCTCAAGCAGCAACCAATCACCTTGAAGTCCTCCAGGCTGTAGTCATAAAGGGGGTTCATGGCTGCATCCATCTTGCGCGGCGCCACCACCTCCCTCTCTATCAGCTCAAACCGCTCCGCGAATGGTCTCTGTAAGGGGAAGAAAGAATGGAGCAAGGGGGCAGACGAATGGTGAGAGTATAGGTTATCATTTAGTGTTTCAAAATAGTATGCACCACCTCTCTCTCGATTAGCTCAAAGTTTCAAACCGCTCCGCAAGCGGTCAAAGTGGGGAAGTGCAAGAATGGCAGGAAGGGAGCAAATGAGAGGCAAGGAGCAAGGAAGAAGAATAGTGAGATGGAAGCAGAGGAGTAGAACACAAAGACACACATGTCAAGCCACCCCCACACACCATTCAAAGCCCCTCGCACCCCCCTCCTTGACTCACATCTCCCAGCGGCACGCTGTCAAGCATCATGAGATCATAGATGAGGTAGCGCCGCTCCTGCACGTCAGTGCCGGGCAGCTCATCCACCACCATCTCGCCGTCCAGCAGTGTGGTGCGGTGCACGTCCCAGTCGTCCACCGGCTTGTGCTGCAGGTGCTTGCGCGCGGGAAACCTCATTTGCACTCGCCGAAACCGGAAGTTTCTGGTGGGGGAAGGGAGGAGAGAGGGGGGGAAGAGAGGGGGAGGGGGGGGGGGGGGGGGGGAGAGAAGGGGAAGGCGAAGCTGGGACAAATAATTCCTGCTGATGAGTCGCCACTCCTCCTGGGAGATTCTGCAGCAGGTGCGGGCATCCAGGTGGGACACGCCAGCGCCCAGTAGCACACCTGCCGATGACGCAAGCACACCTGCCGATGAGGTGGTGGCATTCACATATCGGGATGTGTGATGACACACATACCTGTCTGTCAGGGCAAATGAGCATCACATATCGCATAAAAAGACAGTCTCTGTCAATGCACGCACCTGTCAAGGCAAGCGCACCTGTCGATGAGGTAGCAGCCATTGGGGCAGATGAGCATCATGTAGCGCGTGCCAAGACAGGCACTGTAAGCTCAAGCACCTGCTGTCACTAGAAGCGCACCTGTCGATGAGGTAGCAGCCGTCAGGGCAGATGAGCATCATGTAGCGCGTGCCATCGGCCTTCCATGTCACATAGTACAGCCGCTGCCGCAGCAGCTGCAGATTCTTGCTGCATCGTACATACAGAACACATACATGTGGAAAGGGCAGTGCAGAGATTATGCTGAAGGTTCATGCTGTGAGAAACTCTAGTGTTGATAGTATTAAGGAAACGTTGGGCTTACATAGGAGGAAGAAAAGCGAGGAAACTATGTTAGATTATACTACTCTTCTGTATCCTGCATTGATCCTATAAACCCTAGGATAGAGATAGGCACCCAAACTATGTTTGGGTGCACAACTAGGGTTAACCCTAGTTGGGGGTTGGAACCCAACCTTGGTCCAATTATTGGCCTCCAAGGTTGGGTTGGGAGATTATTGGCCCCCCCAATAATGTTGGCCCACCTTTGGCCAACATTATTGGAACCCCCCAATAATTCTCCAACCCAACTTATTAGTGGGGGGCTAATAATGTTGGCTAGGTAACGAACCAACCCCCCCTCCCCTAGCTTCCACTATGTAAACCCTCATGATTCCTAATCAAGTGACTGGTTCAATTCTAACATGCTATCAGAGCTCTTACGGCTAACGCCGCTCAAGATCCTAGGACCCCTCGCGCCACTTAGCGCACCTCTCGCCGGCTCTGCCGCACCTCTCGCGCCACTTAGCGCACCTCTCGCGCCACTTAGCGCACCTCTCGCGCCACTTAGCGCACCTCTCCCCGGCTCTGCCGCGCCCCTCGCGCTACTTAGCACACGTCCGCCGGCTCTGCCGTGCCCCTCGAGCCATCTCGGCGCTCCTCTCCTCGCCTCGACCGTCCGCCGCGACGAACGCGACCGTCAGCCGCGGACGCGACGAACGCGGCCGTCAGCCGCGGACGCGACGAACGCGGCCGTCCGCCGCGGACGCGACGAACGCGGACAGCCGCCGCGGACGCGACGAACGCGGACAGCCACCGCGGACGGGGCGAGCGCGGGCAGCCGCCGCGGACGCGACGAACGCGGACAGCCGCCGCGGACGGGGCGAGCGCGGGCAGCCGCCGCAGACGCGACATCCGCGGACAGCCGCCGCGGACGGGGCGAGCGCGGGCAGCCGCCGCGGACGCGACATCCGCGGACAGCCGCCGCGGACGGGGCGAACGCGGGCAGCCGCCGCGGACGCGACATCCGCGGACAGCCGCCGCGGACGGGGCGAACGCGGGCAGCCGCCGCGGACGCGACATCCGCGGACAGCCGCCGCGGACGGGACGAACGCGGGCAGCCGCCGCGGACGCGACATCCGCGGACAGCCGCCGCGGACGGGACGAACGCGGGCAGCCGCCGTGGACGCAGGCAGCAGCCGCGAACGCGACCAGACGGGGGAGTAACCAGCTGTGGACAGCACGCAGCTCATCTCCACCACTGACCGCGCCGTCCATCCGGACAGCGTCGTCACCTCTAGCACCTCCACCCTCCCCTCCTCCCTCCCTCCCTCCCTCCCTCACTCGTCATGGCGGACGAACCTTCGTCACTTGAGCTCGCCTCAATAGACAAACTCGAGCTCCTCAACGACACCACCGCAGTCAATTGGGTGTCGTTTGAAGAGAGCCTCTTCACGTACCTTGGCTCCGTTCGAGTGGGAGATTATTGCCTCCTTGACGTCGTCCTCGAAACGCCTCACGGCCTCCCTCCCACCCCGCCCCCGCTCCCAGGCTCCTCCCCCTCTGACGCCCCACCACTCCCGACCGAACCCGCCCCTCAAGCCCCCATCCTAGGGGCTTGGGAGGATGACCCAGACAGGTGGGCTCGCACCCTCAACAAGTACAACAAGGAGCGGGACGACTATGTCATCAAGGGCAGAGCACACGCGGCTGCCGTCGCCGCTCACGAAGCTGCTACTGCAAAGCTTGCAGAGTTTCAAGCCACCTCCGAAGCATACTCTACTAACCTTCGTAAGCACCACTCCGATACTGCTGCATGGCGCATTGCTGACCGCCGTGCACTCACTGTCATCTTCTCGTGCATTCCCTCCTCTCTTAAACGTGACCTTCGCCCTCCATCCTCCCCCTCTCTCTGGAAGTCTCTCTCCTCTCAATATGATCGTCAGGACTTACGTTCCCTCCTCTCCTTCTTTCGCACCTTCCAAGACATCACCCTTGACTCCTCCCTCAATGCCGCCTCCTTCGCTCGGCGTCTCGCGGATACTGCGCAACGCCTCAATGATCGAGGCATCTTGATCTCAGACACCCTTCTTACAGCACGCATCCTTGACAGCCTCCCACCCACCTATGACACTTACCGCATCAACTTCACCTCCCAGCACATTCGTCCTCCTCCTGTGGCTATTACCATCGACTGGCTCCTTGACAGTGAGGCTGATCTCCTACGTGACTCTGCAACGGTCAATGCATTCCACGCTCGCAAACGAACCACTAACGCCGGCGGAAGCAGCAGCAGTGGACCTGGACGTGGCTCAAACGGAGGTGTTCGAGGAGGCGGTCGCGGAGGCGGACGAGGAGGGCGCACTGGGGAACGCGGCGGACGTGGAGCAACTACTCCATCCACAAGTGGGTTTCCCCCGTGCCAGTACGTCATTCGTCAAGGCCCTAACAAAGGTCAGACCTGCAACCAGACCACTCACCCAACTGAAACGTGCTTCAAAGCCCTCACTGATGAATGGCTTGCACGCGGCAACACAGGCCCCCCTCCACGTTGGAACACCATCACCCCTCGCCCCACCCCTCATGACATTTGCACTATCTCCACCTAACCTCCATAATGTCCTCGCTCAGCACCTCTTCCCTCACGTCCTCCAGCAAGTCCAACACCTTCTCCCCACACCCACCACCACCCCCACGCCCTCCATCCCCACCACTCCGCCTCCACCCACGCCCCCACCTCAAACCCCTCCCTCCCCCTATCCTCCTCTCTATCCTCCTCCTTATGCCGGCTGGCCCTACCCTCCCTACCCCCCATCTATGTATGGCCATGGAACTGCCGCAACTGTTGCAACTGCTGCAACTGCCGCAGCTGCTGAACAACCCACCTCCTCCTCTCACCCCCCCGGCTTCACACCGTTTCCTTCCACGGGCTTCATAGGTCATGTCACTACTGCTAGCTCTTGCAATGATCCTATATACCAATGCTATTAATGACTCCTCATTCCAGTACTCCGTGTCCTCCTCCTCCCTTCAGCCCCTTGAGTTCATCCTTGACAGCGGAGCCACACACACGGTCCTTCGTGATGCAGGCACGCTCCTCCCCCTCTCCACCCCCTCCACAATCTATGGGGCTGACTCAAGCTTTGCCATACAAAGCCGTTACACCTCCACACTCCCCTGTCCCCTCTTTCCCTCAGGTACCGTCACAGGTCTCTATATCCCCTCCCTTCATAACAGCCTGGTATCCCTTGGTGCCCTCTCAACAGCAGGTGTCACCGCCCTATTCCCTGGTCACGCAGCATATTGTGACTTATTTCACACCTCCTCCGGTCGCTTCCTCTGCCGTGTCCATCGGTGCCCCTCCACCTACATGTACACCTTCCGCATCCCCCGTCCCACCCTTCACCAACTCTCCACAGACCATCCCCCCACCCCTTCCCCTCCTCTCGAACCTCCCCCTCCCCCTCCCCCTCCCCCTCCCCCTCCCCCTGTGACTGTCGTGATCTCACACACCACACCATTCTCCTCCACCATCGCCTAGGCCATCCCAACTTTGCCACCCTTCGCCGATCCATCCTCACTAAACTCCTTGACGATCTCCCCCTTACCCTTTCCCCCCTCCCTCCTTCCCCCTCCCCTCCTTGCTCAGTTTGTGTTGAAAGCAAGCTGAAGCAACAACCACTCACGAGTAATCCCTCATTTTCCCTCCAACCCCTTGACCTCGTCCACATGGATCTTTGGGGCCCTAACCCTTCCCCCACCAGGCAAGGACATCGCTATCTCCTCATCCTGGTGGATGATCACAGTCGTTACTCCTCCGTCACCCTCCTTCGTACGAAGGCGGAGGCCCCGGCTGCAATCACTGCCTAGGCTGAACAAGCACGCAACCACTTCGGTCGCCCTGTTCGCCGCTTCCATTCCGATGGAGGCAGTGAGTTCCTTAACCGCACCTTGTCCTCCTACTGCACCTCTCACGGCATCCTCCACACCTACACTCTCCCTCACTCCCCTCAGCAGAATGGTGTGGCGGAGAGCCGCATTCAGGAGATCACCAAAACTGCTCGGTGCCTCCTCGTTCACGCCTCCTGCCCACCTTCTCTTTGGGGCTATGCCATCCTTCACGCTGCCATCCTCACTAATGTGAGAGTACGACGGCTTATGCCAGCTATGCTTGCTTGCCTTTACTTTATTATGCTATTTCTAGCATATGATAATTATATGCATGCATGAGTTGCTTGATTTCCTAGGCTAGGTGCTTTCTTATATTTTATTATAGTTATAGCACCGAGCTAGGTTGCGTGCACCGAATTCTGGCTTTTCGGTTGCCACCGAATTGCCTTCTACCGAATTCGGGAAGGATCGGTTCGGGACGCTTCGCGACCCGCGGAACCTTCGCGTAACACCTGGTTACGGGGCCTTGTGTCGAGCCTATATATAGCCTCGTGTTGTACCCAGGTGATCATTCAATTCAATTCAATTACAATTCTCTTTTCTAAGCTCGATCCTAGATCCTCACAACTAACCTCTACCCCCACCCTTCCCGTCCCACCTCCACCCCCACCGAACTATGGACCTCCATCAAGCCTGACATATCTCCTCTGCGTGTCTGGGGTTGCAAGGCGTATGTCCTCATACACCCTGCCGACCGCTCACGCACACGTGGAAAGCTTGCGTCCCACACACTCCCCTGTGTCTACCTTGGACACAACTCCAACTCACCTGACTACCTTTTCCTCCACCCCCCCTCAGGCCGCCTCATCCGTAGTCGGGACGTGGTCTTTGACGAGGCCACCCCGTACTACACCTCCCCCTCCACCCCTAACCCCCTTCCCCCATTTCCCCGGCCCCTTCTCTGGACTGACACCCTGCCCCTCCTCCCGTCCCCTACCATGACCCCTCCCCCCGCTCCTCCACCCCTCCCCCCTCCACTCTCCTCCAACTCCTCCGGCGACATCCTTAACCCACCCCCCCCCCTCCCCCTCCCACTCCACTACCTCACCTTCCGCTGCAACTCACCTCCCTCCTCCTCCTCCCCCTCCTCCACCTCCCCCGCCCCCTTCCCCTCCATCCCCCCTCCCCTCCTCTAATCCGCCCCCCCCTCTGCCTCCCCCCCCTCTTCCCCAACGCCCCTCCCCTACCCTTGTCCTTCCCCGCCATCCCCACACCCGCTCCCTGGACCCCATCCTTGGTTCCCCAAAGACTCCCCCCCCCTCCCTCCTCGCCCTCACCGGTACTTCCCTCCCCCCCCGCTTTAGCCCCCTCACTCCAGATCCACTGCGCAACCGCTCCACGCTCTTGACAGCACCACCGCGCAGCCGAGCAGCAGCACTTCCATGTCGCAGACTCGACCTTCAGCGCAGCTGTCTTGCATCTTCACCACCCCCTCTTCCTCCTCCTCTCTCTCCTCTCCTCTATGAAGACACCCACGACGAACTCCTCTTCCTCCACCTCCTCGCGCCCTCCATCGCTCCCATCGTCCGCACCATGGCAGGCACTCCAGTTCTTCTCTTCTCAGGCACCCCCACCATCTTCGAACCCACCACGTACGAGGAGGCAATTGCCTGCCTCGACGCACCGCTCTGGATTGAAGCCATGGTCAAGGAAAGCAACGCCTTCATCCGCAACCGCTCCTTCATCGACGTCCCTCGCCCTGCCAAGACCAATGTCGTCAAGGGCAAATGGCTCTTCCGTGTCAAGCTTCTCCCTGGCGAAGACCCTGTCTACAAAGCTCGCTATGTGGCGAAGGGATTCACGCAGAAGCACGGCTTTGACTTCTTTGAAACATACTCACCCACTGCTACCCCACCGGTCGTTCGGGTGTTCCTCGACTTCGTCGGCAGACGCGGCATGCTGCTACACTCCATGGATGTCACTACCGCCTTCCTCCAAGGCGACCTACACGAACTCATCTTCATGGAACGCCCCAAAGGCTTTCATGCTCCACATGACCCGTCCACCGTTTGGAAGCTGCTGCGGCCCGTCTACGGCCTCAAGCAGGCACCCCGGGAGTGGCATGCCAAGCTCTCTTCCACCCTTCGCGAGCTTGGTTTTCGCCCCTCCCGAGCGGCCTCCAGCCTCTTCCTTCGGACGGCTCCATCACCTTTCTACATTCTCGTCTACGTCGACGACATGCTACTAGCCACCGACACAAATGTTGAGATGCAGGAGGTCAAGGACGAACTACAGCGTCGACTCGCCTGCAAAGACCTGGGGGAGGTCCGCAACTACCTTGGCATGGAGATCACCCGCGACCTCAAGGCCAAGACTATCTCCCTCTCTCAGTCCTTCTACATTGAGAAGGTCCTTGAGAGGTTTGGAATGTCAAAAGCCAAGCCCATCGCCACCCCGCTTGCAGTTGGGCACCAGCTCGCGCCCCCTAACACCCCCACCGACTCCTCAAACCCCTATGCAGAGCTTGTCGGGGCCCTGATGTACGCCATGGTCTGCACCCGCCCCGACCTTGCCTACCCAGTCAGTGTTCTGGCGCGATTCGTTGGTGTCGGCAGGCACACAGAGGAACACATGACGGCGGCCCGGCGTGTCCTACGCTACCTTTAGCACACGAAGGATTACACCCTCACCCTTGGTGGAGCAGACCCGCCGGTTCTCACTGGCTTCAGCGACTCGTCCTGGGCGGACTCACAGCCTGACCGTCGCAGCTCACAAGGATATGGCTTCACCCTTGGGAGCGGCCTCATTAGCTGGCGCTCCACCCGCTCCTCCTCCATCGCCCTCTCCTCCTGCGAGGCTGAACTTTACGCGGTCACGATGGCAGCACAGGAAGCACGCTGGCTCAGCTATCTCCTCACAGACCTTGGCTCACCACAGCCCTGTCCCACTCTCTGGTGTGACAACGCCAGCACCATCCACCTCACCAAAGAAGCTGTGTTCCATGGTCGCTCCAAGCATATCGAGCTCCGACACTACTTCGTCCGCGATCTTGTCCACGATGGTCACATTACCGTGCGCGAAATCGACTCGTCCTCCAACCCCGCGGACATATTCACTAAAGCCCTTGACCGCGCTACTCACTCGGCACTCTTGCCCCTCCTGGGCCTTGCTCCCCATGGTGACTGATTCAGGGGTTGCTGTCTTATCTCATCCAGGTTTATGGATCTATGCAGGCTAAGGGGTTGTGTTAGATTATACTACTCTTCTGTATCCTGCATTGATCCTATAAACCCTAGGATAGAGATAGGCACCCAAACTATGTTTGGGTGCACAACTAGGGTTAACCCTAGTTGGGGGTTGGAACCCAACCTTGGTCCAATTATTGGCCTCCAAGGTTGGGTTGGGAGATTATTGGCCCCCCCAATAATGTTGGCCCACCTTTGGCCAACATTATTGGAACCCCCCAATAATTCTCCAACCCAACTTATTGGTGGGGGGCTAATAATGTTGGCTAGGTAACCAACCAACCCCCCTCTCCCCTAGCTTCCGCTATGTAAAGCCTCATGATTCCTAATCAAGTGACTGGTTCAATTCTAACAAACTAGGCGGCGAGCTCCCAGAATTATTGGTTGGTCAAAATTGTTGGTTACCTAATAATGGTTGGGGCGAGCCACAAAATTATTGGCAGACCAATAATTGGTTGGCAAGGGCCACCAAAGTGGCCCCCAACAATTGTGGCGTAGAAGGTGTTTGGGGTGCCCCAAACCAAAGTGGTTGGGGCGCCTCGAACAAAGTGTACACCCAGAATGGGTGGTGTAGTAGAAATTCAAAAGACCACAAGCGGGAAGAGAACAGAGCAAAGGACAGCCACAAAGGACTTACAGCTGGTATCTGGTCTCTGTGCGAGATGCAGAGGAGAATGCTTGTAGCCCGCGGCAGCTGCGTATTCTATTCTGTGCTGAGCTGTGCGCTGGGCTATGGCCCTTACACGCACAAATGAACGTCGAAGGATGCTTCGAGCCGGCTCAAAACTCACCATGCATACCACCTGACGCTACCTGCATGCATGCACACTAATCCGTACATACACCTTACAACACTTGAATCGACCATCGCTCGATCGAAACCAGTGTTTGTTGGAACACTCATCTTTAAGGATCAGCCAGCCACCCACCCACCCAGCGGTAAGGAAGACAGAGAAGGTGAGGATGAGGAAGCAAAGTGAAGGTGAGAGGCATGGATTGTACAGGTCCAGTGAGGGAGGCCAGTTGAGAGCCGACTTTCAGGCACTTCAAAACTCAAACATGAGAGGCCCTCAACAGAGGGGTTGAGGTTGAGAGCGGGGTGACGGTGATAAACAGAGAGGTTACAGTTCCAGCGAGCATGGTTGCAAGCAGCGTTTCAAAACTCGAGCCTTGACGTTGAAGCGTCTCCACAGAGGGGATGAGGTGGAGAAGGGAAGGGAATGAGGTTGGGAGACAGGGAGCTTACAGATCCAGTGAGGCAGGTTGAGAGTGGCGCCTCAAAACTGGAATTTCAAAGTTGAAGCGCCTCAACATAGGGGGGTTGAGATGGAGAAGGGAACGGAGTGAGGTTGAGAGACAGAGAGCTTACAGATCCAGTGAGGCAGGTTGAGAGTGGCGCCTCAAAACTGGAATCTCAAAGTTGAAGCGCCTCAACATAGGGGGGTTGAGATGGAGAAGGGACGGAGTGAGGTTGAGAGACAGAGAGCTTACAGATCCAGTGAGACTGGTTGCGAGCCGGGGAAGTGCCGAAAATTGTTCTGGGGGGCGGGGGTGAGGAATGGGAGGAGGGTGGAAATTAGAACTACTTTTGGGAATTCTTTATTTCCCAGTGAGACCAGTTGAGAGAACCCTCCTCACTGAGAGCTGAGCACTGGGAGGAGGCGCAAGTTTGACTGGGGGGATGGCAGGATTGAGTAATGAGTGAGTGGGGGAATGGGGGGAAGCGGGTAAGAGACGTGAGAAGACAAGAGAACAAAAGTGAAGGAGAAGCGGAGGTATCAGCAGATAAAATTCTGGGGGAATTGGGGATGGAGAGAAGGGGAGGAGGCGGAAAAAATACTCGTGTGGTTGATGATGCAAGGGGGAGAGTGCGTGCAAGTCCAACTCGCAATTTCTCTCCACCACCACCCTTCTCATCTCACCACTCTCAACCACTCTGCACATGCATCACCCTCAGTGCACGTACGGACTTGAGCCAGTGCAGAAGAGCTGCTACAGATCCATCTGCTTCTCCTCCAATATTACCCCTTCAGTCCTCCACTCCACCCCATTTAACCCTTCTTAACCACTCACCCCCATCTCTGCACAGTTGTGCACCGCTTTGCATCACTCACCGCCCCTTCTTCCTGCACGTACCGACTTGAGTCCCGTGCACACGAGCTGCTGCAGCTCCCGCTGCTGCTCCTCCGGTATTGCCGACCCCAGCACATCGTCAATCGTCATCTTCTTCTTGCCCTCCTCCTCCTTGCCCGCCTCCTGGACACACACATAACATTCAGATGATCGATGGTTGGTGGCACCTTTAAATCGCATCACCCAGCCAACCCCAGCACATGGTCAATCCTCATCTGCTTCTTGCCCTAAACCTCCTTGCCCGCCTCCTGGACTGGGCGAACACACGCGGAAAGAGCACCATGCTGATTAGTGAATGCTGACAACCCTTATGCACATCACTTCTATCAGCCAAGCCCAACACATGGTCATTTTCCTCTTGCCCACTTCCTCCTTCCTTGCCCCCTGGGCGGAAAGAAATAACAGCAGCAGCACACGGAGTGCCTGGAAACCACGCCGATGAAAGGATGAGCTTATCAGCACCACCACACCACCTCTACATGAGCAACGCACGAATCCGAACACGCTCGGTTCGAACCTTGCCGAACACCTCGGGTTTTCGAACCGAACATGATCCGTTCGTTCCAACAGTTTTGCGAGAACGGAATTACATGTTCGAGTGTTCGCCTTCAGAGGCAGGCGACGAACACTTTTATGTTCGCCCGAACATCTCATAAAGTCCGCGGCGAACTCGAACATGTTCGATTCGAGCGTGTGTCCTCGAACATGTTTATGCTAACGGCCCCCTCGCCCGCGCCCTCCTCGTCCATCTCATCAAGGGCCACGTTGAGGTCAAGGTCTCGGTCAAACATGGCCTTCCACTCGGGCGTGGACGTACCCACCCACCCACAGGGCGAGGGATATGTGGGGTGAACTTTGTGCTTTTATAAGAGCAACATGCCCACCAGCTGTTCGTGTAATCCACTCACAGGCTCTGGCAGGACGGCAGCGCCGCACTCCTCGTTGCCGTCGTCCCCTCCCCTCCCTCCCCCCCCCCTTCAGCAGCCTCCTCGTCGTCCATCTCCAAGGCGACGTTAAGATCAAGGTCCAGGTCGAACGTGGCCTTCCCGTCCACACTCACCACCTGCTCGAGTGATCCACTCACCGGCTCTGGCAAAACAGCAGCGCCACACTCCTCCTTCCCGTCGTCCCCACCACCACCACCTGCGCCCCCACCCCGCCTCCTCCTCGTCCATCTCCAAGGCGACGTTGAGATCCAGGTAAAAGGTGGCCTTCCACTCGGGCGTGGGTGCACTATCCACCAACCCTTGCCAAACTTGCTGCACCACTCATTCAATGAGAGGGACCTACAGGAACAGATTCAAAGGGTGACAGGCTCACCAGCTCTGGCAGCACAGCAGCGCCACACTCCTCATTTCCATCATCGCCACCACCACTGCCTGAGCCCCCACCCGCGTCCTCCTCGTCCATCTCTAAGGCCACGTTGAGATCGAGGTCCAGGTCAAAGGTGGCCTTCCACTCGGGCGTGGGCGGGCAGATCACCGCCTCGGGGCGCCGCTCGTGGTAGAAGGTGAAGAGCGATTGAATGTACTCCTCCTTGTATATTCCTGGAGGGCGCGCCTCTGCGAATTCCGCTAGCCTCTGCATTCATGGAGCCGGGAAACAAGACGGACGGACAGAAATGAGTGGGTTTTAGGTTCATGAGACGAGAGGGCGCAGCACTGGTGGTGGTAGGTAGAAGGAGAAGAACGACTGGATTGGTATATACTCCTCCTTGTATCTATGCAGGGGGCGTGCCACTGCGACTTTTGAGGCGCCTCAACTCAAAAGTCGACTGGATGTACTCCTCCTTGTGTCTGTCCAGCGGGCGTGGCTTCAGCAAATTCCGCGAGCCTCTGCAGTGGTGTGGGGGAGGGACGGGGAAGATGGACAGGTAGATGTGAGGCGGCTGGGAGGGAACAAGGCTGGTGGTACAAGGAGAAGAGCGAGTGCATGTACTCCTCCTTGTATCTGCCCGGTGGGCGAGCCACTGCGAATTCCACTAGCCGCTGCACTGGTGAGTGGGTGAAACAAGAGAGACGAACAGACATGGGTGGGGTTTGATGGGTGGGGATTGATGGGTGGGGTTTGAGGTGCAAGGGAGCAAAGCTGGTGGTAGAGGGAGAAGAGAGGCTGGATGTGATGTACTGCTCCTCCTTGGATTGGATTGCACATGCCCCAGGGACGGGCATGGGGAAGACAATGAATGAATGGACAACAGTGGGTATGAGCGGCAGTAAATATTGTGGAAGGAGAGGCAGAGTGACTCATACTCATTGTGCATCCCATAATCCAGCAATGCCTCTGCCACACGCCACAATGCCTCTGCCACACGCCACAATGCCTCTGCCACACGCCACAATCACACGCCATACCTCTGCCACGTGCCCACCTCTGCCACGAGCCCACCTCTGGCACGTGCCCTCCCATGGCACGTGGCCTCCCATGGCGCGCATGAGCAAGTGGATGACCCTGTGTGGTTGTGGTAGAGACTCATGAACACACATGACTAGCACATGGGGTTTTCACCATACCTCTGCCACGTGGCCACCTCTTCCAGACCCACCATACCTCTGCCACGTGGCCACCTCTTCCACACCCACCATACCTCTGCCACGTGGCCCCCCATGGCGCGCATGAGCAAGTGGACGATCATGAAGCCCGTGCGGTTGTGCCCGTGCGTGCAGTGCACAATGATGCTCTTCTTGCGCTCTGTCGCGCGCATGTAGTCCAGCGCCTGCCGTGAGAGAGTGCGGAGAGAGTGCGAGGGATGGGGGGAAGGGGAGAGTGAGAGGGACTTTGAAGGGGCAGTGCAGTGCACCACGATGCACTTCTTTCCCTCCATGGCGCGCATGTAGTCCAGCGCCTGGCGACAGGAGGGGCAGGACAGGGAAGAGACAGCGGCGAGTGGGAGAGTGCAGAGTGCAGAGTGCAGTCACCACGATGCATTTCTTGCGCTCTGTGGCGCGGCGCGCATGAAGTCCAGCGCCCGGCGAGAGAGAGAGAGAGAGAGAGAGAGAGAGAGAGAGAGAGAGAGAGAGAGAGAGAGAGAGAGAGAGAGAGAGAGAGAGAGAGAGAGAGAGAGAGAGAGAGAGAGAGAGAGGAATCCCTTAGCCCTCTGCCCTCTGCCTCATCCCTCTGCCCTCCAGAGCTATTTAAGGGCTGTCTCACCCTCCTTCTCCTCATTATTTTGTGTGGAGTTCATTTAAAGCTGCGGTTTAACGCAGCTCCTACCTCCTACGAAGCAGCGAAGCTTCTGACGGAGTACCGCCAGCGCTGGAGCGTGTGCCTCCAGCGGGCGCAGGCCAACGCCCTCCGCACCAAGACCAATGAGGCCTTGGTGGCGGACGAGCTCGGCTTTAGAGGACCCATCATCCCTCTCAGTGAGGGACAGCTGCACCAGTTGATTGAGGCCCCGTTCGACCAGTAGGGTCGGACAGGGGGGGGGGCTGAGTAGGTAGGGGACTTGAGATAGTTTGGATGCCGGTTTTTGTTGTGCTTGTGTGTTTGCACCTTCCGTTGTACCACCCCTCAAAGAAATGCAAGGACCATTCAAGAGAGAGAGAGGAATCCCTTAGCCCTCTGCCCTCTGCCTCATCCCTCTGCCCTCTGCCCTCCAGAGCTATTCAAGGGCTGTCTCACCCTCCTTCTCCTCATTATTTTGTGTGGAGTTCATTTTCGGTGGCTCGCGCCGGCGGCCTTCGGCCGCGCGCTCCTCGTGGCAAGGATTTCAAGCGACAGCATCAGAATAACGGGGTTCCAGCGCACATCAACAGGAAGGGAGAGGGGATCTACCTAAAAGGGCGACATGCAATACTACACGCGGCGGAAGCCTACATCGTGTACGGCTCCGCCCCCTCCACCTCAAGCATCGAACGCATGCACGTCAACACCGCCAGAAGGAGCTGCGCCGACGAATGAAGCGTGCGCACCGGGGTCCCCTCTTGGGCGGCCACAAGAAGATCCTCCACGTGGCGGGGGAAGGTACGCGCTAAGGGCGCTACCCCGGCGGGCGCTTCCGACACGGGCGCCAATAGCGGGGCGAGGGCTTCTGCCCAGGTCGCGCACGATCCTCGGGGACCTGGAGCGAAACTGCCCGGAGAGTTTCGCATGGCCCCACAGACCGCCATCTGCAAGTTCGCCACCACCTCGCACGCCTCCGCAAGATTCAGCGTCCGGCACATGGTCAGCATGGGGTCTCTCCCCGCACGAGTGGGGGGAGGTGCAATCGGAGCCTCACGCTGATACGCTGTCTCCCGGCCCGGAAGTCGGCCTCCCGAGAAGGGCTGCACGGAGAAGCCAGGGACCTGCCGAGGGGTGCGGAACAGCGCCCTCCCCTCCCGCGCGGGCAGATACTTGCTCAATACCGGCGCGCGCAGAGGGGCCGCGACGTCAGGGGCTAGGGCGTGAGAATGACTGTTGGTCACCTCAATGTGGACGTGAGTTGGCTCACCAGTCGCTCGCGCCTGGCGCATCGCCGCTGCAAACACATTCACGGCTTCACCAACCGCAGGATCCTCCCCGCGACCAGCTCCGCCGCGACCCGCTCCATTCCGCCGACCCCGACGGCCACCAGAGCCCGCCGAGTGCGGACGCGGGGGGGATTGCTCGCGGCGCCCAGAATCCCATCGTCGCCCAGAGAACCCCTCCCCTGCCTCGCCGGAAATCGACGCGGAGAGCGCTGCGCGGGGGATCGCGCTCGCGGTGAGCGCTGGGCTGCCCGATCTTGGGGAGATCGGTGACGGGGAGAGCGGGGGCTCGCAGGCGACAGCTGATCGCCAGCTCCGTGGCGGCGAAGCTCGCGTTGACCAGGAGAGCGACGCCGAGGGGAACGTTGCTGCTGGGGCTGGCACTGCGGCGATCGCCCACGCTCATGAGGTGGCTGTCCAACCGGGCGATTCGACCCAACGCGGGCTGGCGCCCACAAATACTCAGGAGAGTTTCGGCGTGCGCTCGCCTGATGAGGTTGAGACGCCGCACGGGCTCAGACGCGGATGGATGCGCAGGAGCGCGGAGACGGGGTGCAGCGAGCGCCTGAGGACGGGGGCCCGCGCTGTCCGCCGTACTCTCTTGCGCGCGGTCGCGACCCGCGGAGGGGTCCATCACGCCCGAACGAACCGCCGCGGACGCCAGCGGGCCGTCAAAGGAGGGGCCTTGGTACCGCCTCGGCGCCACAACCGACACGCAATATTGCAGCGGCGGCCTCCGCGCAGCACGGAATCCGCGTAGGAAGAGGAGGGAGACGGGGTGGTCGTAGAGGAGGCGCTGCGGTTCAGCGATGGGGCGCTAGTAGCTTTGCGAGGGCTGCTCACAGGATCCTGAGGGGAAGGGCTAGAGATGGAGAAGAATCGAGTGACGAGAACTCTGTGGGTGACCCTCTATTTAACCCTGAAAGAGAGGGTAGCCCCAGTCCCTCCCCCGAGTTAGAAGAGGCAGAGCAGGCTCGAGATGTGGACCGAACTCCAACACCGAGCCGAGCCGCATCTGCAATCCGAATTGGAAGACAGAGCCGAGTCGGGGGGGGAAACCGAGCCGCACAAATTGCAGATGGCACCCCAACTCGGGCCAATCAGCAGAGTGCAGATGCACCCACAGGCCTGCCCCTGTGCAGTGCAGGCGACCTGGCAAAACGCCAGGACCTTTTCGCTGATGTCGCAACCTGGGACCTACACCCCCTTCGCGACAGCAGGCAACCACCTCTCGCCCGTCACCCACCTCGCACTCTTCGCGAATCTTTCGCAGCCTGCCTTCTCACCCCGCTGCTACACCTCGCAAAAGACCCTGACTCGCCCGCAGGCTGGAGACTGCTCATGTTCCTCCCGCGCATCCTCTTGCGCACCTCATCAGCCAAGCGCCCAGATTGGTCGAAGGTAGGAGCCAGGCTGATAAGGTTCCGCCAAGGCCAGTGGCGGAGCCTGTACGACGAGGCGGCTGACGCAGTATCCCAACCACCCCAGCCACGCCATGCGCCAGACACCACAGGCATCCTGGCAAGGGCAGAGGGACTCGCCAAACGAGGGAACCTAGCAAGATCCTTCCAATCCCTCACGGCCACGCCAGTCTCCCCCCCCTCAATTGACGTGCTTCGGGCTCTCTCAGCTCGACACCCCCCTGCGCGCCAATCCATCCCGGAGTGGGTGCCGGATTTCACCGCAGAGTGCACCCCTTCAATCCCTCCACGCGACTTCAGACGCATTCTCGCCAAATGCCCGAACGGAGTGGGCGCTGGTCCCTCGGGGACCACAACACCTGAGGGACGCAGCACTTGGGAATACGGACATCTTCCTGCAATTGCACGCACTCACAAACACGGCGTTAGCCGGAAAACTCAGCGCGGAAGCAGCAGAACTCCTCACTGCGTCACGCTTACTTGCTTTCACGAAGCCCCATGGGGGCACACGGCCTATAGCAGTAGGCGAATGCCTGCTCAGATTAGTAGCAAAAGCGGCTCTATTCTTGGCGGCTGAGAGAGCACGCGATCACTTCGCACCGCTGCAATTCGGGGTGGCGGTAGCAGGAGGCATCGAGGCGGCGGTGCACACGGCAAGGACATACCTGGAGGAGAATGACGGGGCTGTGGCGCTACAAATCGACCTGGCAAACGCATTTAACGCGGTCGAGCGGGCAGCAGTGTTCGAAGGCCTCAAGGGGACCACCCTGGAATTCATGGTGCCCCTGGTCCGGCTCTCCTATGGTGTCCCCTCGGAACTGCACCTCGACCACGCGTTTCATGCCCCCCCCCTACAATCCGCACGCGGCGTACGCCAAGGGGATCCGCTGGGCCCGCTCCTCTTCGCCGCCAGCATTCACCCGTGCCTGGTAGCCGCGGCGGAGGCGCACCCAGGAGTCGTCATCCTCGCCTACGCAGACGACATTACGCTCCTGGGGGAAGCTGAGGCGTGCACAGAGGCATTCAATCACCTCACCAGGGCGCTGCTTCCCCTAGGCCTGGAACACAACCGCGAGAAGTGCGCAGCATGGTCGGCTGCGCACATTGACCCCGCCTCTCTTCCGCCGCATGTACCTTTCTCGGCGGACGGGATCCGCGTCCTGGGGAGCCCAATAGGCCCGCAGGCGGGATGCGCGGCGCTGGTACAGGAGCGCCTGTCAGCAGCAGCAGAGCCACTTCCGCTACTGTCACAAATGGACCCGCAGCTGTGCCTGCTACTCCTAACACGGTGCGTGAGCCACCGCGCCTCCTACCTCGTCAGAACGATGCCCTTGGAGGTGCTGCCAGCGGACACCTGGTCAGAGTGGGGGGAGCAGCTGCTACACACTTACCCGACGGCGGCACACACGACGATACCCATGGAGGAAGAAGAGCGGAGGAGAATCTGGCGGCAGGCCGCCCTGCCCGTGACGCTGGGCGGCCTCGGCATCACCAACCCAGCCACGGAAGGGGTGTTCGCTTACCTAGCCTCGGTCATTTCCACGGCCCACCTGCTGCGCTCGTTCGGCGACACGTTGCACCCCTCAATCGCCCAGATGCTGCCGCTACTAGATGCAGACGCGAACTCACCCTCGGTCCTGCCAAGGCGCCTCGCAGCGGCAGAAGCCACGCTGCCCCCAGATGGACTAGAAGCTCTACAGGCCGGCCGGCGCGGGACGGATGGCCCGAAGCTACAGCAGGCCCTGTCGCTGGCCGTCCACACAGCCCGCTATATTGAGGTGCTCGATGCCTCGCGGGAGATGCCCCTGAACTGAACCCGCTCTACGGCCACACCCAACGCCTGCAGTCACTCCTCGGCCCCGGGGCGAGTGATTGGCTGCTAGCCATCCCCCTGGTCCCGGCTCTTCGCCTCGGCCCCTCGCAGCACTCCACTGCATCCTCCTTCCGCCTAGGCCTCCCCCTTCCCGTCCCTCGGCGCTGCGACTGCCGCCACCGCACGACCTTCCCTGACCACCGCCTACCCAATCACCTCATGCGTTGTGAGAAAGGCGGGGGGAGGATTGCCACTCACCATGCTCTTCGGGATGAGTGTGCGAAGATCGCAGCAGAGGCAGGCTACACGGTGCACAAGGAATCCACAGTGTACTCACCGGTCGAAAACCTCAAAGCGGACGTTTGCATCCGCCATCCCGACACCGGCGAAGTCCACATGTGCGACATCACCGTGACGGACCCAGTCTCTCATCTCACCAGAACGAGTTTGCGCGGAAGGCGCCTGGGTGGGCTGCAAGGATGCAAGCCGCCAAGAAAGAAGACAAGTACGCGCGGCGGAACGCGTGGGTGGGCTTCCATGCCATGGCGATTGAGACGTACGGCTACCCGTCCCCGGGAGTGCACGCCTTCCTCCGCAGCTGCGCCGAGCTCGCGGGCAAGCGGCGGTTCAACGCTGCGCCAAAGTCAAGGGAGGTGGCCAGGCTCCTTACGGAGTACCGTCAGCGCTGGAGTGTGACACTCCAGCGCGCCCAGGCCAATGCCCTTCGCGACAAGACCCACGAGGCCATTGCCGCGGATGAGCTTGGCCTGCAAGGCCCGTTTGGCAGCCTGGGTGAGGAGCAGGTGCACCAGCTGCTGGAAGACCCCACAGGCCAGTAGGGCCGTGGGGAGAAGGGGTAGGAGTGGCATGAGTAGTGGTACCTTTGTGTGTTTCCTTGGTTGTTGGCTTGCCTGTTTGTCGTTTGATTGCTTAGAACTAGCTTAGTACCCAGGTCTGTACCTTGATGATTCTAATACGAAGGACCGTTCGAGAGAGAGAGAGAGAGAGAGAGAGAGAGAGAGAGAGAGAGAGAGAGAGAGAGAGAGAGAGAGAGAGAGAGAGAGAGAGAGAGAGAGAGAGAGAGAGAAGGGGTGAGGGAAGGGGGACGAGGGACGAGGGGAGGGGCGATGAATAGGTGTTGGAGCGCAGTGCAGTTCACCACGATGGACTTCAGCGCCGACAAGAATACTCGTGGGGCGAGGCAGTGAAATAGTGACCAGCGCCTCCCTATTCCACTGCTTCGTTCGTGGGGCGAGAAAGGCACAGCATCTGACCAGACCAGGAAACAAGTACTTGGAAAGGCACAGCATCTGACCAGACCAGGAAACAAGTACTTGGAAAGGCACAGCATCTGACCAGACCAGGAAACAAGTACTTGGAAAGGCACAGCATCTGACCAGACCAGGAAACAAGTACTTGGAGAGGTGGTGCTGGTGCAGGCCCGGTGAATGAGATGGGGCAAGAAAAGCCCATTCCCCGGCCCCCGACCGGGGAATGGGGGGTGCAGGTGGGGGACGGGGGAAGGGGTGTGCACGGCGGAATTGGAGAGGTAGTGCCGTGGCAGTGCAGTGCAGCAGCCAAACTTACGGGACACTTGTTGTGGGCCAGGCAAATGCGGTTAGACGAGTGTTGGTTCATAGACGAGGGAGGGTGGAGGAAGGGGAAGGAAGGGCACTCACCACATAGACAAAGCGGTTGACCGTCTCACCGTCTGGTACCTCGTCCCCACCCCTGCAGGCCAGCTGATGGCCTCCGCCGCACACAAGGTACGGGAGCAACATAGAAGAGGGGCGATACTCACCACATAGACAAAGCGGTTGACCGTCTCATCGTCTGGTACCTCGTCTCGCCCCCTGCAGGCCAGCTGGTGGTGGTGGTACACACAAGAAGGTGAGACACGGCAAGACAAGGTGAGGGACGCATAGACAGACAGGGAGGTGGGAGATGCAGAGCAGGGGGAAAGACGCAGAGAAGGCAGCAAATGTATTTACCCATGTGGCACGAGTGATATGAGGCAGGCAAGGCATGGGTGGGTGGGTGGTATCCATGCATGGCAAGGCATGGGTGGGTGGGTGGTACCCATGCATGGCAAGGCATGGGTGGGTGGGTGGTATCCATGCATGGCAAGGCAGGTCTGGTGATTGAAGGAGCAACACATCCACGTTGCTCTGCCTCGCTCCCTCTCTACCGGACTGTGTGGGTGTGTGCGTGCGTTACCCACCCTCATCTGCTTAGCTTCACACGTGTTGCTCCCTTGTCTTCCTCACCCTCATTCATTCATTCTCACCCACTCACTCCATCACTTCGCTCGCTCGCTCGCTCGCTCGTTCTTTCGTTCGTACATTCGTTCATTCGTTCGTTCGTCTGTCCGTCCGTCCGTCCGTCCGTCCGTCCGTCCGTCCGTCCGTCCGTCCGTCCGTCCGTCCGTCCGTCCGTCCGTCCGTCCGTCCGTCCGTCCGTCCGTCCGTCCGTCCGTCCGTCCGTCCGTCCGTCCGTCCGTCCGTCCGTCCGTCCGTCCGTCCGTCCGTCCGTCCGTCCGTCCGTCCGTCCGTCCGTCCGTCCGTCCATCCGTCCATTCATTCACTCATTCAATCAATCACTCATTCAATCATTCACTCATTCAATCAATCACTCATTCAATCATTCACTCATTCACTCATTCATTCATCCATTCATCCATCCATCCATCCATCCATCCATCCATCCATCCATCCATCCATCCATCCATCCATCCATCCATCCATCCATCCATCCATTCATTCATTCATTCATTCATTCATTCATTCATTCATTCATTCATTCATTCATTCATTCATTCATTCATTCATTCATTCATTCATTCATTCATTCATTCATTCATTCATTCATTCATTCATTCATTCATTCATTCAATCATTCACTCATTCAATCATTCACTCATTCAATCATTCACTCATTCACTCATTCAATCATTCACTCATTCAATCATTCACTCATTCACTCATTCAATCAATCACTCATTCAATCATTCACTCATTCACTCATTCATTCATCCATTCATCCATCCATCCATCCATCCATCCATCCATCCATCCATCCATCCATCCATCCATCCATCCATCCATCCATCCATCCATCCATCCATCCATCCATCCATCCATCCATCCATCCATCCATTCATTCATTCATTCATTCATTCATTCATTCATTCATTCATTCATTCATTCTTTCTTTCTTTCTTTCTTTCTTTCTTTCATTCACTCATCCACTTCTCCCACCTGTATCGGCTCCTGTCAGTTTACTTGACACCACCGTACCCTTGCCGCCAGGCTTCTGATGCTTCGATTTCTACTTCTCTCGCTGCACCACGTGCTGCCATGCCTTGTTCTCTCACCTTGACGTATTTCACGTTGAGTTTGGCCCAGTCTTTTGGATTGTAGTAGCGCGTGGTGTTGGTCAGGTCGACCACCATCCCCACCTGCCATGCCAACATCACATCGCACACGAGAGAAGAGAGTCGCGCAAGGAAGCAAGAGCGGGCCGGTTATGCTTTTTAGTCGAGTCAAACAAGAAGCTTCGACCGGTCTTTTGGGTTGTTGTAGCGCGTGTCGTTGGTCAGGTTGATTGGTCACCAGCCCCCACCCACCTGCCAACATCACATACACACACGAGAGAAGAGAGCCGCGCAAGAAGCAAGGGCGGGCAGGAGCGGAACAGAGATACTTTTCGAGTCACGTCAAAAAGCTTCGAGCAGTCTTTGGGTTGTAGTAGCGCGTGCGTGGTGTTGGTTGGTGAGGTGGAACAATCACCAGCCCCACGTGTGATGGTCACATGAGAAAGGAAGAAAGGGGAGCCACGCCACGCAAGGAAGAAAGGGCGGACATTAGTCGGGCCAGAGATACTCTTTGAGTCGGCTCATAAAGCTTCGACCAGTCTTTTGGGTTGTAGTAGTAGCGCGTGGTGTTGGTGAGGTCGGACAATCACCAGCCCCACCCACGTATGTGATGAGTCGGTTTTTGAGTCGACTCAAAAACCGATCAATCACCGGCCCCACCAACGTGCGAAGATAGTTCGCAAACATCGCATTGCACGCACGAGAGGAGAGTTGCATTCACTTTTGGAAATTCGCAAAAGTGATCTCACCACCAGCAGCCAGCCCCACCTGCTAAGTTCCAAACATCACATCGCACACACGAGAGGAGAGTTGCAATGAAGCAACGGCATTCTTGAGTCGGCTCAAAGATAGTAGCTTCAAAAGAGAGAAGAGAGACGAGGTTCCTCAAAAACAGTAGCGCGCGTGGCAGTAGTGTTGATGAGGTGAGGCCGATCACAAGGCCAGCCCCACCCACCCACCGACATGCGAAGTTCGTGAACATCACATCACACACGAGAGAAAAGAGTCGCAAGGAAACAAGGGCAGAACAGAGCAGATATATTTTTTAGCACACTCAACATCTTTTAGGGAGATCTCAGGAAATCCCAGGCCACCTGCGTGCGCAAAGATGGAAAAAGGGCTAAACGGAAAAGCAAACAAAGGCGGGCAGAAAATGACCGGAGATGCCACTGCAATGTTGGTGGTATTCGACTCACGCTCACGCATTTCACCCTAATGCCCTCTCTCCTCTTCCCTCCACTCCCCCCCTCTCTCCTCTCCCCCCCTCTCTCCTCTCCCCCCTATCTTTCCCCCCTCTCCCCCCCTCCTCTCTCTGTTCCTCCTCTCCACCACCACCACATCTTTCGTCGGGCTCCTCAAACGATGACTGCCTACTCACACAGCGGCTGTGTCACAGCCCTCTCACTACATCAACCCATTCACTCCATTCCCTCCCACACCATCTCCACACCATCTCCACACCACCTACGTCTTTCTTCATGCTCCGCGTCTGCCTGAGCGCCAGATCAGGCGACCTCTGCTTGCCTGCTCACACAACACATCCCTTATTACATACACACAAGCTCTCTCTTCCCCATATCACCACCACCCCCACCATCCCCACGCCACCTACATCTTTCTCCATGCTCCGTGTCTGCCCAAGCGCCACATCCAGCGTCCACTGCGTGTGTGTTGTGTTGTGCTGTGCTGTGCTCACACACACGACAACCTCGCTAACCGCATACATGCAGTCTCTCCCCCACCACCACCCTCACCATCCTCACCACCCTCATCACCCTCACCATCCTCACCACCCTCACCATCCTCACCACCCCCACGCCACCTACGTCTTTCTTCATGCTCCGCGTCTGCCTGAAAGCCACTTCGGGCGTCCTCCGCTTGCATGCCGTGTTCACTTGCGAGCCTGCTAACTCCATACAATCCCCTTCCGTCCTCACCACCACCACACCACCCCCAACATCCCCCACACCACCGCCACATACGTCTTTCTTCATGCTACGTGTGTGCCGGAGAGCCACCTCCGGGGTCCACCGCTTGCCCGGCTCCACCAGCTCTCGGAACGCCTCCCCCAGCGGTGCCTTGGAGGGGATGAGCAGCCCAATGGCCTCGCCCATAGACGGGCAGTCCAGCCACCCTGAGGGGGGTAGGGAAGACGGAGGGAAAAAAGAAAAACCGTTAGAAAATACACAGGTGGAGGGGGAAAAGGGTTACCCGGCTCCACCAGCTCTCGGAACGCCTTCCCGAGCGGTACCTTGGCGGAGATGAGCATCCCAATGGCCTCGCCCATAGAGGGACAGTCGAGCCACCCTGAGGGGACAAGAGAGCAGGAAAACAAAAGGAGTAGACAGATCAGATCAGATCAAATCAGATCAAATCAGATCAGATCACGGACAGGTGGAGATACAAGCTAGTCTTTCCAGCTCCACCAGCTCTCTGGACGCCTCCCCCAGCGGCACCTTGGCGGGTAGAAGTGCAAACAGAGGACCGAGTAAAACTCGGCTCGTCTTGGTCAGGACTCGGCTGAAATGTTTTTCCGGTTTAGCTTGGGGGTGGACTCGGCAATCAGTCCATAATGGACGATCTATATGAAACTCGCTGAGTGCTTTACAAAAAACCCGGCGAGCCGAACAGAAACAACGACAACTTTATCTGATTTTAATTGAAACGTAAAGTTGTTGGATCGCATGGCAAACTGACGCTGGCAAAACATACACGATGGAAGGTGAGACGAAATATTGCTTACTATCTGCTGACGATACTAAACAGTGATTCGTCTTACCTTCCATCGTGAACGTCTTTCAAGCGTCAGATGCTCATGCAATCCAACAACATTGCGTCTGAAATGTAATCAACTTCCCATTACGAACACATGTATCGAAAAAACGCCACTCGTTTGGCTGTGTCGAAGGCATACGCTGATTACGAATAGCTATTAGGCCGCGACACGTTGGAAGGATGCTTCTAAAGCAGAAGCCTAATACTGTAGTGTTCGTTTTCTGTCATACGAAGCACCTCGCAAAATGTAGCGGCAACTTCTTTTTGAAACTCGCGAGTCCAATAAAACCCACGCAGCGTGCGCAAGTCTCCAACGAGTTTGAAAAAAAACGTCGAGTGAAATGAAACTCGGCTCGCATCGGCCGAGTTTTTCCAGCCGATCATCGCACTCGTCACTCGTCCCTAGACGAGTGCAGGGAACGAGTCGAGATTTAAAACTCGTCCAAATGCACATGCCTGCCTGCGTGCGTGCGCACATGATGGCGATGAGCAGCCCCACCCCATGGCCTCGCCTCGCCCATAGACGGGCGCGCAATCCACCCTCGTGGGGAGGAAGCACCACAACAAAAAAACGTTGGAAAAAAGACAGGTGGAGGAAGAAAAGGGGGGGTTGCCCCGCTCCACTAGGTCCCTAAACGCCTCTCCTAGCAGTAGCAGCCAAAAACGAGACAGACTCACTGGTCATCACCAATTGGGGGAAAATTGAAGGTTTCTGGGCCGATTGGAACAGACTATCACGCAGGGGTGCTTTTGAGTCGGTCATACCCCGAATGGGTTACGGGACATACCATCACGCAGAACTGAACAGAACGGCACGTACCATCAGGTAGGGGCCCACAGGACGGCCTCCTCTGACCCCCAGACGCTCGGTGCTCCGACCCGCCACCCTCCCCATGGTACCCATTACCCCCACCCCCACCACCACCCCCACCGCCACCACCACCGAATCCAGCGCCAGCGCCGTCAGCGGCTCGCCTCTGGCGCGCTGACGGGCGGCCCTCCTTCTCCTCGCGCTCCAAGTTCTTGCGCTTCATCATCAGCATCCTCTCCTGCCGCTCCTGCTCATGGAAAGCAGCACGGTGACATGCAAAAAGGTGACACGTGAGGGATGCACATATCTCCTCTCTTGCCTCTCATGGAATCATCAGCATCCTCTCCTGCCGCTCCTGCTCATCAGGTACTAACGCTCCGTCCTCTTCCTCTTTGTCACCAGCATCCGCTCCCCTTGCTCCTGGGGATGAGAAGGGGAACACCTAATCCTCTTTCCACTGTATCTGAAACCTCCTCACGCTTCCCGCTCCTCCGTTTCAAACCAGCTCCCCCCAGCACCCCGCAGCTCCCCCCAGCTCCCCGCAGCTCTCCCCAGCTCCCCGCGCCTCCCCCCAGCTCCCCGTAGCTCCCCCCAGCTCCCCGCAGTTCCCCCCAGCTCTCCCCTGAATGCGAAAGGCTGTAGACGCTGAGGTCGTGGTAAAACAATTTGCATATGTTTTTAATCCGGGCTGCATGAGCCTTTGCAAAGGAAACCACGCGCTGCTAGCCGAGACTTCCGGAGCAACCTTGCCTTTGAAGTTGGTGTCACACACAAGCTTTTGCGATAACTCGAGAAATTAAAGCCCTCCGTTCTTCTCAATCATCCCTACGAGCTCCAAACGGCATCCACGGCTAAGCGCGGAGATAAGCGGAGTAGTTAAGAAAGGCGTGCATGCGATAGTGTGACGAAGAGTGCAAGAAAACGGGATAGGAAGTGTGTGCATGTTGTGGAACGACACAAAACCTAAATGGTAGACGCTTTCCTACTATAACAGCACCTGCGTCCTTCACGTTGATACGGCGGGTGCTCTCTGTTGTGAAACGACATGGCGCCTAAATGGCGAACGGTTTCCATGACAGCATCTGTGTCCTTCTATAAGTTATAACACGCAGCTGCGCACATCTTCCCATCTCGCTAATCCCAGACGACGCTAAACTTAGCCTTGAGACACAGAATCAGTATCGGTGGTGATTGCGTACCCGCATATACACCGCAGAAACGGACTCTTCGCCGCCATTTTGCTCCTCTTGATCCATGCTTGCAGGCCTCTAGTCCAATTAAGTCATAAAGCAGCGAAATAACGTCTGCCTATAATTCTTTTCCTGAAATCCTCCTGGTTTTGGTAGGTGCTTAGGTAAGGGAAGCCACGCCGCCTAGGCCTAGCCCTTGAAGCCAGATACTGAAAAGGAGCTTGTGTGCTTGGGGTATATTCCGTTTCTGACACCTCCACGCACGCTCAAACATGCATGTGGTGGGGAGAAAATGTTACAGCCGGTAACCAGGGCGCGTAGTAGAGTTTGTATGAAATGTTCTTTATATGCTACGTGAAGGAATGCGTCGGATAGTTCCTTACTTCGCGTCCCTGCTCAGCGCGTACACCACTGTTCCCGCCAACAACTCCCAACACTGCACCGTTACCACTCGCGACACTCGCCTCGACCACTATTCCGCCACTGTTCACGACGCGACCCAGCCTCACGGTTCGGCTCGTAACACGCGCTCCTGACCTTCGCCTCGACAATTCCCAACCTCGGCGCTGTTGGGAACAAATAAGTTAAGCGCCTCTTGTGAGAATAAGCGAACAAGAATGGGTGAACTAGCAGTGAAAATGAGTACAAGTAGGAAACCCTAGAATTGTGTACCCCCTATAGGCTAACCCACTGTAGCCTACACAAGCATAACATATATAATGTTTGACACACCCCCATAGGCAAAGTGGGGGAGAACAAGGGGTCACAAGACCAGTCAAGCAAAGCAAAGCAAGCTCAGGGTGGATCACAAAGTCACCACACAGTCCGAGCACAAGAGCAGGGCCACAGGCCAGTTCACATGCAGGAGTACAGACATATATATAAAACTAGACAAGCAAGAGCAGGTATATATATATGTCATAGTACAAGTGAAGTCAAGAGGAGAGCAAGTGAGGCAAGACAGGTACAAGACCCAGCTGGGTGCAGAAGCGCTGATGGTCACAAAGCGCGAGTGCCTTGGTGAACACATCAGCAGTATTGGCCTCAGAGGCCACGTACGCAAGTCGCAACTGACCACGCTGCTGCAGCTCACGAGCAAGGAAGTAGCGGAGAGCAATGTGCTTCGTTCTGTGCTCCAAGCGCTGCTCTCGACACAAGGCCAGCATGGCCTTGTTGTCTACGTACAGCACTGGAGGAGAACGAGGCGGCTCTCCAAGGTCAGTCAGCAGGTAGGTGAGCCAGCGAAGCTCCTGTGCAGCCATGGCCCCGGCGTAGATCTCAGCCTCACAACTGGAGCCGAGAACCGAAGACGAGCGAGTAGACCGCCACGAGACAGAGCCGGAACCAAGGCTGAAGGTGTAACCCTGTGACGACCGCTGCGTAGCCTGGTCGTCAGCCCAAGAAGCGTCCGCGTGGCCGGTAAGGACCACTAGACTCCGCCCTCCAAGCACAAGCCCCATGCCCGACGTACTGCACAGGTAGCGCAATACCCTCTTCGCTGCAGCCATGTGCTCTGGTCTGTGTCTCCCAGGAGCAACATAGCGTGCAAGAATGCTCAGAGGGTATGCAAGGTCAGGTCGTGTGCAGGTCATCAGGTACATGAGGCAGCCAACAAGCTCTGCATACGGACCACTCGACTCTACGGACTCATCCGAAGGCAGAGCTGAGAGTGAGTGGCGAGTAGGCAGAGGAGTGGCCTGAGGCGAGGAGTACGTGAAGCCGAAGCGCTGAAGGACCTGCTGCACCATGTGTGACTGAGTCAAGGTAATGGTGCGGCGTGCTCTGTCCCGAGTGATCTGCAAGCCAAGGTAGCTGCGCAGTTCACCCAGGTCTGTGCACGTGTGTCTCTTCAGCAGTTCGGACTTCACGTAGGCGAGTCCAGCAGTGTCCGCTGTGGCAAAGACCAAGTCGTCGACGTACACGAGGATGTAGAACGGCGGCAGTGAAGTGTCGGTGCGCAGAAACAGCGACGGGTCAGCAGTAGAAGGAGCAAACCCAAGAGCCGCAAGCGTAGTCCTCAGTGTGTCGTGCCACTCACGCGGTGCCTGGCGGAGACCGTAGACTGGCCGTCGGAGGCTCCACTGGGTGCCAGGAGGGAAAGTCCCAGTGAAGCCAGGTGGACGGCGCAGCCAGATCTCCTCGTGCAGGCTACCCTGCAGAAACGCAGTGTTGAAGTCGCGAGAGTGAAGCTCGTAGTCGCGCTGAGCGGCTATGTGCAGCAGCACCTGAAGAGTGGTCATCTTCGGGGTGGGAGAGAAGGTCTGAAAGTAGTCAACTCCCTGCCGCTGACTGAAGCCACGAGCAACGTACCGCGCCTTGAAGACAGGTGGAGAGCCCGGCGGCCGCTTCACCCGGAAGATCCACATGCCACTGACGATGTTCGCCCCAGGAGGGGGAACTGCGTCAACGTAGGTGCCTGTGGACTTCCAGGAAGCCATCTCTGCATCCATAGCTGCCTGCCACTGAGAGGAGTAGGGACCCTCTACGGCCTCCGCGTAAGAACGCGGAGTCGGGATGTCTAGTGCATCCGGGTCTCCCTCAGGGGCAAGCAGTACAGACGCGAGATGAGGTGAAGCAGCCGCTAGACACTGTAACTCCTCCTGTCTATCCTCTAGGACGTCCGTGCCAAGAGCACACTCACCCCCGACGGACGGAGGACAGACACACGCAGACTCAGCAACAAGACCAGCAGCGTAGTCGAAACGACAGCGAGCAGCAAAGTCAACGAGCTGAGCGACTAGAGCAGACGCAGCAGTGGACTCAAAAGAGGGGTCAGTGACGACAGTAGCAAGCAGACGCGTGACAGTAGGACTGGCAGCGCGAAGAGAGTCCGACTCAGGGTCGGCAAGCGCAGGAAGAGAGGACTCAGGAGGAGAAGGCAAAGGGGCACGCAGAGGAGCAGTGGACGGACGCAGAGACATCCGGTGCGTGCCAGGGACAGGAGGAGGACGCTGACGCGAACCGCGACCACTAGCGCGAGCAGCACGAACAGGCGACGCGGGACGAGACGCAGGCTCACGACGCTCAGCAAGACCTCCAGTAGGACCAGTGTAAGGAGAGGGAGCAGGCAGAGGAGAGGAAGGCTCCAACAGTGACTGCGACTGGACAGGCTGTGGACACTCTACCGAAGGAGAAAGACCAAGAACCTGCTGTAGGAGCGGAACGAAGTACGGCCGAGGCCGCGCGACAGCTCCAGACTCAGCAGGGACAGCACCAGCACCCTCAGCGACAGCACCAGCGCCACCAACACCTCCAGCGGCAGGACCTCCAGCAGCACCAGCAGCAGAACCACCGCCAGGACAGACAGCCGTAGTCTCAGCACCAACACCCTCAGCAGCTCCAGCTCCAGTAGGACCCGCAGGCCCAGCAGCTCCGGGACCGGCAGCACCAGCACCCTCGACGGTCGAAGAAGCTCCAGCTCCAGCAGCACTCCTCCAGCGGCGAGCAAACCACTCGCGCAGCTCCTGTGGAGAGAGGGGCTCCCGGCGAGACGCAGCAGCAGGAGAAACCCCAGGCTCAGCAGCTCCAGACTCAGCACCCCCAGGCACAGCAGCTCCAGACGTAGCACCCCCAGGCTCAGCAGCTCCAGACTCAGCACCTCCAGGCTCAGCAGCTCCAGACTCAGCACCCCCAGGCTCAGTAGCCCCAGCTCCAGTAGGACCCGCAGGCCCAGCAGCTCCGGGACCGGCAGCACCCGCAGCAGGCGAAGAAGCTCCAGCTCCAGCAGCACGCCTCCAGCGGCGAGCAAACCACTCGCGTAGCTCCTGTGGAGAGAGCGGCTCCCGCCGAGACGGAAGAACCGGAGAGCCCCCAGGTCCAGCAGGCGCAGGCTCCGCACCTCCAGGCCCAGCACCCCCAGGCTCAGCAGCTCCTGACGTAGCACCCTCCGGCTCAGCACCCCCCGGCTCAGCACCCCCAGACTCAGCACCCCCCGGCCTCGCACCCCCAGGCTCAGCACCCCCAGGCTCAGCACCCCCAGCAGCAGCACCAGACTCAGCAGCAACCTCGACTGGCTCGACCGTGTCTACCTGGGACACACCCGAAGGGGCAGGAACTTGAGGGGGGAGGGGGTCTACCGGGGGGGGAACTGGTACCAGGAAGTCCGGTGGGGGGGGAAGGGAAGGAGTACGGTAGGGGAAGAGGCGGTAGAAGGGGACTGACTCGTCGAACGTGACGTCCTCGGAGGACAGAACACGACGAGAGGAGGGGTGGTAGAACTGCCACCCTGGAGCGTCAGGGGGGAAGCCAAGGAAGACACAGGGAGCAGCACGGGGGGACAGCTTGTCCGCAGACAAGTCGCGGACAAACGCCCGAGATCCCCAGACACGGAACGCAGACGCATCGCCGACCTTCCCCGTCCACAGTAACACTGGGGACATCGCGGGCCGAGAGACCCTGGGGTGAAGGTTGAGCTGATGCGCCGCGTACCGAACCGCAAACGGCCACAGAAAATGGGGGGCAGCCGCATGCATCATGGACGTACGAGCGACATCCATGACCATGCCAATGCGGCGCTCAGCAATCCCATTTTGTTGTGGAGAGTTCGGAAGCGTAAAGGTCTGGCGGATCCCCTGTGCACGACAGTAGTCTCGCAGAAGGCGAGAGGAGAACTCCCCACCTCGGTCAGAGTGCAGACGCAGAACAGGAAAGTCCGAGCCGAAGCTCCTCCTGAGCTGGAGACAAGCCTCGCGGATCCAGTCGATCAGCACCTCATTGACAGCACCCTTGCTGCGCAAGGGGAAGACTGAGGTGTAACGCGAGTAGTCGTCAACCACCAACAGGAAGTAGCGCTCGTGACCCTGCCCACGGACGGGGGCCGGGCCCCACACGTCCATGTGAAGCGTCTGCAGAGGAGCCTCTGTCGGGGGAAACTGGGAGGAGTGAGGAGCAGCCCTGAGGCGCCCCTCGACACAGGGGACACAGGAAGGTCCTGGTCCCGAAGGAAGGGGAGGGAGAGACTGGGGAAGACCAGAGACAAGGACACGGGAAGCCATGCCCCGAAGACGGGGCAAGGA